TTTAAAGCCCAGATAATTCTAAACTGCAAAATGGAATATTATGTTTAAAATCAGAATTGAGCTTCTAGTTTAAATCACAGGCCTTGCAGTCGGCAAAAGAAAAAATCAGGATACTTTTCAAAAATATCAGGACAGCATATTTTTAGGAACAGTATACACAAACCAGACTACTTTTGAAAAAGGGAAATTAAAAAAAAGTTTAATTTTTCATATTTAAGGATAATAGAGATATTTATCACAAAAAAATTTTAAAATATGTACTTTTTATTTCAGAATTACTTTCTCTTCTGGGGGATGGATGAGTTTTGACAGTTTTCAGTTAATGAACAATACACTACACTATAATAATAAAATAGACGCTTTCAGTTTTTGATATTTTTTTGAATTTCCGAAGAAATACTTAGAGGACCATTTTGTAACTTTAGAAGTGTTTAATTCATGTGAATTTTCATATACAGTTATTATCTCGAATTTCGATACCTCGAAAACCTTATTATGTTAAAAAAATACTTTCCCCCTTGGCATTACATATCCACCTAATGTTAATTTAAATTCCTATGAGGAAAGGTTTCTTCTTAAAACCTTGCTATGTCAAATATTTTTACAAAATGGGAAATGAATTTTTTCACAAAAATCAGAATGAAAGTTAATTGTAAGTCAATTTTTTTCTATTTAATGTATAATTATTTTTGTCTTACTTTTAAAAATAAAATAATCATTGTTGTATTTAGACTTATAGTCAACTATCATTACATACATAATTATTCAAAGCTATTCTAGTATTTCATGACTCTACTTTTCAGAGAATATATCTTTCTACTTCTTAGAACCTCTCGAAAACTCGGTAGACAAAATTTTTTTTAGCGTTTCTTCAACATCGAGAGTATACTATATTGCATTAAGTTTAAAGCTTACAGAGGTTTGAGAAATTGACAATAAATTACGAAAGAATACACATCTTTTTGAACACCCTACAAATATGCCAACTTGCTCCGGACAGCGAATAAATATTTTTGAGTGGTAGTTCATCAATTGTGATTCTTGGTTTAATGGATTCAATTTATTAGGTTTTTATTTACCACTATTTCTAAATAATTCGATGGCTTATAAAATTCGATACTTTGTTATAATGTAAGCAAAGTAGGGCAAATATTTGCCAATTTTAGTTTATAGCTCCTTACCGTTTTTTAAATTATTTAGTCGCGTCCGGAGCAGTTGGCATCTCTGACCCTAGGCCAGATAATAAAGCAATAAATTTATAACTTGTATCAATTACTTAGGTTATTATTTAAAATAACTGCATCAAATTTCGTAAATAAAGCTTAAATATTTATGGAGATATGAACATTTTCATAAAAAGCTAATTTTTTTGTCTTTTTTTTAAACGTTAAAAATAAACAGTAAGATTGAACAAAATTTTTGGAGCAATTTAAAATTATTTAAAAAATTGCTTTAAAATGTGAAATAAATTTGTTAAAAAAAATACGTAAGACATGAATATTTACAGTAGTTCCTTCATACTGCACATGCACAGAAAAAATTTTGATTTAAATATCTTAAAAATGTAAAAAAGTGTCAAGCAATTTTCTAAGTAGTTTTTGTACTTATTGAAAAAAAGCTTAAAATGTACCTTACTAACTTACCCTACCAAGCTTATAATAACCCTATAGCAAGAACAAAACAAAATATGTGGAAAAAATCTTTTAGTTATGAGGTTTTTTTTTTTTTTAAAGAATACAGGAAAAGAAAATTGCTTAAAACTTTTTACGCTTTAAAGATATTTTCCATTAGTTGTCAAATACGATTCACTACCAAATTATGAAAAAGTTATTTTAACTTCCAATCACGTATTTGATTAATGACTTTAGTTATATTTCAATGTGAGTTAAGAGGAAAACGTGAAAGTTCTTTGCGTAGTGAAATGATGTAGGATAATATAGGGAGAGGGGAATGGAACTGGAGTATACAGGAAGTAAAAGTGGCTCGTCTAAACACGAAAGTGGAAAACAAGAATGAGGGCTTTATGTGCATGAAAAGAGATGAAAATCTGCATTCGTAAAAACAAGGGACCTTCTGAAAACACAAAAGTCGGGAATATCAGAACAACAAAAATTTTCTTGGGACTATCATGACAGCTAAAAGTCCTCCACAAACGCAAATTTTCTCACAATACTTGATCCAGGAGTTCCCTTGTCTTTTGGATTGGATTCAAAATTACAAGACTACAAAGTTGAATATCAGTAGGCGTAAACCCGAAAATTGGGTCGGCTGTTCGACGACGGTTACAAAATATAAAAATAAAAAGCCCACAGTTCTCATCCTCCCCAATGAGCATGGCATTCATTTTATTGATCCTGGAGAAATGAATAACTTGACTGACTAAGACAGGTACACAGCCAAACTGGGAATTAAATCTAGGTCAGAAACTTCATCAAAAGTATGGTTGGTTCAAGGGATGGTTTCTGTCGAAGATCAGAAATCTTAAAATGTAGATTCTAACATTTTTTATAAATAAAAAAAGAATCAACAATTTAAATTTAGTTAAGTTAAGCTAAGAACGTTAAAATATTTAGCCAAAGGAAGAAATTTCACACATTTTTTTTTTAAAGAGAAATATTGTAACTGAATACGATTTTAATATCATTCCTCTCAAAAATCAGACAAAATGAGGCATCCATGAGCTTCATAGTCAAACCTCCAGACCACAAGAGTACTGCAGGTAATATTTAAATAGGTATAACACAGAAAATATTTTTAATTCCTGCATTGCAATGAGTGCTTGCGTCATGTCCTGGCATTCCTTGGGAACAACTATGCTCAGTTACAGATATGGTAGGTAATCTATACAGTCAGTTCTGTGTCTTTAAAATGTTCAAGTTCAACAAATCGCTAGCCATGTATGAGATATGGTCATGATGCGCTTTTAGTCAGCAAAAACCCGATCTGTTGTATACATTCACTGGTAAATTTGTGAAGTTAACGAAGCTTCCTACCAGCATGCTGAAAGGAAGTTTTGCTACTTCCTGACAATGACTCTCTCCACAGCTCAGTCCCGAGCTACCCTAAATAACTTTTGGTTTCATGCTTGGATTTTCACATTCAATGATAAAATCCTAATGGTTTGAGAGGAAAGCTTAAACATACTATTTAATAGATGAAAATGATAATTTAAGCTACAAAAAATATAATTTTTTGACAGATTTTCAACCTTTTAATTATAGGAGTATCATCCTGCAAAATACAGTTCCAAGCAATAGTCTAGTCAAGAGAGCAGTCAAAAATTTCATCTCCATAATATTTTTTTCTCATAATAACTCTGAATCTAACTTTGTCCCTTTAAGACTTAATAAGTTTTTACATTTGACAACGAAATTGATTTTTCACTAAGATAATTTTTGCCAAAAATAATTTCAAATAATTTAATATATTTCCTTATTTTACTTCTTAATATTTGAAAATTATTGGATTACAAAAGATTAAAGAGTTTATATTTTCTCAGACTACATAATTATAAACAACAAGATAAAAAAAAAAAAATTTAACCAAACTAATTGCAATTTTCCAGAGATATATAAAAAATCCCAAAATTTGAATTTAACCTTTATTTCTCATAAACTATTCAATCAATTTCATTTGAATTTCAGAATTAAAATTGTCTAAATTTTATCTTCGAAAACTTTGTTCAAATTTTAGTAAAGTAACAAAAATCCTTTATTACACCTTGTAATAAAATTTTTTTTTCATCACCATCGCTTTGATAAAGAACAATAATTAATAAAAATTATTTTTCAAACAAAATTATCTTAAGGTAAACGATAAAAATTATTTAGATTTGCACAATCAGACATTGTATATGTGCAAAAAGTGAAATTAGCCATTAGGAGCAAACAATTTCCACTTATCTCATAATGAAACCATACGGGCCATATTTTTTCAGATTGTGGCCACTTACTATAATTAAAAGATCAAAAATGAGAACAATGAATTTTAAGAAATAAAAAAGAATACTAAATTAGAAACACACCATCTGCTGTAAATTCTTCAAATTTTATTCCAAATCAAACAACTTCTTTTTAATTCGTTGAGGCTGAAAATAAATGACACGAATAAAAACCTCATAGTAGTCATAAATGAAATGTTGAAATTTGTACATCAATCACAAACAAAACATTTTTTTAACTGCATTATCTTTAAAGTAATATAAAATTTTACAGCAATTTATATAATGCTATTTCCTTTAAAAAAAATTTTTTTTTTTTTTTTTTTTTTTTTAAAAAGAATGATAAAGGAAGGTGCATAAGAATGAGTGATTCTTTAGGAGTGAAATAGGTTAACAATATTTTTAGTTAAGAATAAGGTAAAAAAATGTACACGCTTTAAAAAATGCTAAAAAGATGCATTTTTTTTTTAAAAATGTAAATAAAAAGTTTTTTTTCTTCTCAAATTTTAAAAAAAAAATGGTGTCAGTTTTAAAGAGATTGAAAATAACGTTTGGAGCATAAATGACTGTCCGAATCTTGTTACGTGAATGTCGACTTTGTGTAGAGGGTTCATTATGGTTTACTCACAGGGAATAAAAAACATGCCTGTAACGAGGACAGGTTTTTGAAAACTATTACTTGCTCCATTTTTGCATTTCAAATATACACTTTACACAAATTTAAAAATTACTTAATCAAATTTATTAAAATATAAACAAATTAAAAATAAACGTATATTATGATATAATGTTCTTGGTACATTTATACTGGGGATGCACAAACAGTTTGACGAATGAGTCACAAAAACTAGAAAATACCACACTAATATCCAAGCTAGATAACGTAAAGTCAGAATCATATAAATGTAGGGCGCACTTAGATACCATTTAATAGTAAAATATATTACTCATACAGTCAGTAACTCATTTACTTAAAAATAAATATACGTATTTGATGTAAATAAATCTAAAAAATAGAGGAACAAGATTGAAAAGCAATTTACAAACAAATACAAGAGAGTACTGAGAAAATTGATTTTTTATTTACCTCAAAAAATTAACATTTACAATTATTCAGAAAACAAAACTACTAACTGTACAGTAAAAACAAAACAAGTATTTTTATTTAATTTAAAATATTGATGACAGCATCAACCAAAAAAATATTCAAGTTCAATTAGAAAATAAAAATATTTTAATATCAAAGATCAAAAGAAGGTGGCGCAATAATTTTTAGATAAATTATAATAACCTATAAGTTGTTAAAATTTATTTTGATAAAACTTGTCATGTTATTTCTTTTGAAATTTATGTTGCATATTTTATTGTATGTTGAATCATAATTATAATCATGTTAAAACAATAAATTTTAAGCTCTAATCACTATAGTGGCAACACGCCTCTTTTTAGGAATATTGTGACAACACTGAGAGGCAAAAACACTTTTTAGTTAGCAATGCTGCTTACACTCTGACAGATTAGGTTAGGTTTGGGTGAGGGGCAAAGCTGCTAACTTTTTGATTTTCGATTGGAGCCCAAAATAAAGCGTTTGATTGTTAGATTTCTTTGATAATTTGATTTTCCTTGTAAAGTTACAAAAAAAAAAAAAAAAAAAGCTAGCGCAGGTGTTAAAATGCTCCTTTGAGCAAGGTGTTCATTGAAAAGGGATATTGCCCATTTGGATCTAAAAAAATTAGAGATCTTGTTCTGCAAGATTTTAGTTAACTCAGATAAACGACATTGCATAATCGACTTTTTTTCAAATCAGTTTTAGATTGCCAAAAGGTCCAATAACCAGCACAAATTCCCCATCACTTTCTTTGAATTTTGAAATTTATACATTTATTTTATAACTCAACTATGTATATTTGATAGACGCTGATGGACACAATTGGTGTGCATACAGAGCAAGGTGCATGTTAAATTTGTCATGGCTGAAAGTTAGTTGTGGAGTGAAAGTTTGAAGAGAGGCATGTCAGCACTGCCAGAGTAAAAATTATGTGGTATTCCCTACCACAGCTGTTAAAAGATAGAGCTCTAAAAATAGGGTCAGGTGCTTGGCCAGCTCTGGGTGATGTGTATATATATTTAATCTACAAGATTCTGAACTTTAGAATAATAAGACGGTTAGAAATTGAAACTCTCTTAAATACTTAAAAGTTCTTCATAAATGTAAAAATGACTTAAAAATTCAAATTGAATTAACTATATAAAAACGTGTTTAAGACTGAGAAGAAAAATTGTGGAATTTAAATGTTTATTTGAATAACGAAAAGATTTCGCTAATTGTAGTAATTTCTTTTTTATTAACTTAAAGATTGCTTTTGAATTTAAAAGAATGCTTTTGAGTTTAAAAGATTTTGAATATATTTCTCTTTCATATTCATCATGGAAATTGCAGGTGTTTTAATAGCAAGCTTGTTCTCAGTGAGTACTTGAGCATTTATTTAAGTGACTAATAATTTTATGTCTCTACAATGAATTTCAAAAGGCAAAAACTTAATTCTATTCTATTTGCTTACACTATATTCATCATCATAGCTGGCCAGACTACCCATTATGGGTCAAAGCATTCCTTTGAAGATTTCTCCATAATGACTATCTTTATCTTTGATATCCAATTCTTTTCATTAATTGCAAGAAAATCAGACCCCACCGAATCAGCCAATCTCAACAGCAGCCTTCCTCGTTTACACTACATTAATAATTCCAAAATCTTCAGATTTTTTTATATAATAATACGGAGGATTTTATTCAAAATTTTAAACTCTTCAGGATGCTTAGTTTGATGTATTCAACCTATTTTTTACACTTAATTAAGATTTGATAATGGCATTCACCATTTAAAAACAAATGGATCCCATAATTGCAAAATTTGAATAATTCAATTGAAATTATAATTTTTATAATCTCTTTTCAATGCTGAAAATTTCCACTTTTTTTCATACCATTTTGTAAATACAAATTTATAAAACATATCATAATACATTAATACTTAAGACGGTTTAGTTTGTTCTATTGAAAACTGTTAAGATTTTGGAGTAGATCATGGGCAGAAAGTGTGCCCTCAAGTTAAAGAGAGAAAGCTTTAACAGGGTTCCCACTCTATGATGAGATTGAAATTCAAGGACTTTCCAGGACTTTTCAAGGACCTCAACAAAATTTTCAAGGACCTTAATCTAAGACCAATTTTAAAAATTATTCTCTTCTATTTTACTAGAAGCAACAATGCTTGTTGTGGCAATAATTAATTTCAAATATAATACCTAAATGCTTTGCCTATATAGAGAGAAGAGAGTATATGTATTATGGACTAAAATTTATATTTTTTTAAAAACAACCCTACTGGTTTTACATATTAATTCACAAAATCATTTTCAGCACAATCTATAACTAATGGTAATGAGGTGTTAATGGTGAAATCCTTTAATCCTGTGTATTTCCATGTGAAGGCTGCATGAAAGACAGAGCTAAATCTTAGGTATTCCATATTCCATGACTATTCCATAACCCCCTCCTCTCCTCTATTAAACATCGTTTCTGAAATTATTCATCCATAATTTACACAACCTTCTCTAAATGTTATGCAGCAACAATTCTTTCTGAAAATAAAAATTAGAAGGAACATATCCCATTTTCACCATGTTTAAAAGCATTATTCGTTATGTGTAATCCACAACTGCCAATGAATATGACCTGGTGGGAATATTTCTCTTTTAATTCACACTGAAGCTTCTAATAGAATTTCCAATTGACATAGGGTCCATCCATGGATAATTGAAGTATTTTAGAGAGCTTTTAACCATCATCCATGCATTTGTAAAAAGAGGACAAAATATTTTCTGCAGTTCCATGACCCATAAATTGGGAGGTAAGATACTTAGTGCAAACTTTATTATCAATTCCTTACCATAATGTCCATCTGCTTAGATTGTAGAGACTGATTTAACGTCTCATCAAAGAGTACAGTGTAGCAATCAACATTCTTCAGCTCATTTATAAGAATCCCTTTGAAGTATAGTGCCAATCCAAAGGAGCCCAAATAGGCTCACTTTGTGGCACTACAAAAAAATTGTCTCGCTATACAGCTATCAGCAAACATTTTGGAGAACAATTTACTAATCCCTTCACAGGAGTTACATGAATAATTACTAGTGATGCACTTCAGACTCCAGAGAATTTCAGCATCAAGCACATTCCTTTTGACCAGATAAGAAGACAATGTTACCTCGGCCACTAAAGTTTCTGTTTCACATGGGGCACACGATGTTGAAGGAGTATTTACACCAGATGAATTAGATGTTGATGTCTTTGGAAAAAGAGAACTCAGGGCATGAGACTGCTTTTTTGTTTTACCTTTCTTTCATGTGTGATTTCAGAGCAGATTCTTCCATTTTAGCGTTATCGATCTCCTTCATGCATAATCGGCACTTGGCACTGAACTTCTTTTCGGGCATCGATAAAATCCATTCTTTATAAGCTTGATTATCCATCCATTGGGGATTAAAATAGCACTTCCTAGGCATAACTAGTCTAAAATACATAACACAAATACGAAGCCGTGCCTTTGCGAATACGCTTTACAATAAAGTTTGGACAAGTGCAGATGGTAAAACGGCAAATTTATTGAAAACTACAAGGTACATATTGTTACGAAATTCGTGAGTATTCCAGTTTCGATAAGAAAAAGAAGATTTAAGCATATGCGACAGAAGATGAAGTTGAGTCTCGCCCCGAACGCATCGATTGTCTGGAGTGCTCCGCGCGCTTAGCAGACACCAAGACGCTAGGTCCGGTTAGAAACAGTGGCGTTAAAAACCACGTGAGAGAGCTCGGGAACAAAACAGAAAGAACGAGAAAGATCCGCGGGTGTTTTATAAAAAGGGCCGTCTGCAGTATTCGACAAATTCAAGGACCTATCAAGTTTTTCAAGGACCTAAGACGTTTTTCAAGCACTTTCAAGGACCTAAATTTAGCAAAAAATAATTCAAGGACTTTCAAGGACTCTCAAGGACCGTGGGAACCCTGTTTAATGTCAAGAGATAACTATCAAGATAAAAAAAGAGATAGTTTAAAACTTGAAAAATAACTTTTAGGTTAAGAGGCAACTTGATGAATATATTCAGTACACTTCCTCATATAAAATAAAGAGATATATTTTCAGCAACAAATATTTTTTACCTAAAAATAGTTTGTTTAATTCAGTTATTTGGATTGAAAATTTAAATTCGATTAGAGAAATTTTAAAACACATTGCAGATCTATTTAAAATAGTCTATTAATCATTACTGACTATTTAGAAACATTTTAAAGATGTCAGTTTTTGTGAACACTTGAATTTTCTGGTTTCACTTCACGACATACACAAAATAAACATCACCCAATCACAGAAAACATTTTTTCAACTCCCTGACGGAATGTCCTGAATGTTATTGGTAGATGATTTTTCATCAGGCAAATGTGTGAGGTTACCACAACATTCTACAGAACAAGTTGCATTTTCATCAGGTTGATCAGAAAGAGTCATACCAGCCAGATTCAGAGAGTCAACAGAGGCAGCATCTAGGTTATCACGGACACCGGCCACTCCTTTTTTGGGTATAGAAACTAAATCTCTTTTGATGCGCCTCTTCCTAGAAGGGTCACATCGTCTGAATTGCAGCTCCTTTGGGAAATCAATTACATAAAGAAATCCAGCAATAAGAACCTCACATCTAAAACAAAAACAAAAAAAATTATGCTTCTGCTTAAATAGTTACAGTTTTAGAGATATTTTTTTAACAGACGTAAAATTACAAAAGTCCCAACTTTCCAAAATAGCTATCTGTAATCAGAAACACAATAACATGGAAACTTGTGTACAGTTAATGTTTACGAAATTCACAGGAATGATGAGAATATGTTACCGTGAATGATCAAAATCAAGAAATTTGTGGACTTTCACCGGTGAATGTCAACAATCACATAGTCGTTTTGGCGAATGTCCGAAATATTTGTAATATCCGATTTAATATTAATTTATTCGTTCATATTATTATATTTATTCAATATTTTAATATCTGTTGAGTATAGATTAGAAGAAACATCAGTGTTCGAAGTACCGGTTAAATGCATACAGTGGCACTTGATCTTAAGGAAATATTGATGTAGGGCATACCGGGCAGTGGCACTGAACCTCAAAAAACATCAGAGTAGAGCACACCGGGAAAATGTATACCGGGCAGTGGCACTAAACTAGTATATATTTCGTACATTTACCAAAGCGACTATGTGATTATCAACATTCATTGGTGGAAGTCAACAGCCACCCATTTCGATCATTCACAGTAACATATATAATACTTAGTTTCAAATAGGAATAAAATATTAATACAATTTAGCATGAATTTACTATTAAACAAACAAAAGCATCACTTAGATAAAGGTACTAAATTAAAAATTATATAATATTAAAACTTTATACTTCGTTAATGAAATGTTAAAATTAAACTGACTGCATAAAATCAATATTCTAGTTTTTGGTTAAATAAGAACTTGTTCTCAATGCCTTTTTCTCATCTTGCACTTGAACTATTAAAAATTTTTGCACACAGAATTTCATACAACTAATGGAAAAATAAAAATTTTGCCTTACTTTTTTTCTTTATTAGACCATTTTGAAATATAATAATTTACATACAACTCCTTTCATTATTTCTTTAGACAAAACTTTCAGTATCATTGAAATCTGACTATGAAAAAAATCACAACTTAAAGAATATATTCATTAATAATGCATAAGAATATTATCAACTTAATGATTTATTTTTAAAAAAAGCAATTAGTTTAATCATGATTTAAATCATGGCAACATTGCTTGTGTCATTTCTTTTTCTATTTTTAAATAAAAGTTATTAGTTTTATTTTAGTATTTTCTCAACAACTCAATAGGAATCGAACCCCAACCATGTATTATTCAATTAGTAGAAGCTTAATAATTTGTTCTGAAAAGTCAAATATTATTCACATAGAGCTAATGGAAAATTAATAGTAAGTCAAATAATATTAAATATTAATTAGTAAATTAATACTTATTTAAATGTTTAAAAATAATAAATCATTTTAATTTTTTAAGCATACTAAGTAATTTTAAAACATCCCTAGCAGCAAAATATCTTGACTCAATAAGGACTCAAAGGGCCGTTATTTTTCCGATATCGGTCCTATATAGAATTATCTGATTCACCCGATATTTCATATTCATTTTTCAGCCAACATAGGCTCTATATTGGCCCCCATAAAGGCCGATATTGGCCCTACATAGCACCCATATTAAAAATCTAGACATCCCAATATGGGTCCCTAGGTGCATGTTCACATAGGCGCCATACTGAACCGATTTTGAGCCAAACTGGAGTAGAGATAAAATCATTGCTAGGGATTGATCATTCATCATGCATATTCTTAAACTAAAAGAGAATCATACTGCTCTTCTCCCTCCTTGTATGCAGCTTCAATTTCAAAACTAGTTCGATCATCATACTGCCACCAACCATTTCTGCCTTCATAAAACCATTGATAGGAACCCTCAAATGCTACTTTTGATGGCGTGTTCTCAATTAACTGAGGATTATCCAAATAATTAGAGGGAATTTCCTAAAAATTTAAATACTTCATCAAGAACTTTATATATATATATATNTGTATGTATATATATATATATATACACACACATTACCAATTATAAAGGATAAACCAATTTTTTTAAAAAAATAAACAATTTTGTTTTCTGATTAGGTTGGCATTTTATTTCATATCATAAAAATTAATTAGCTTTAAAAATTGAGAAATTGTTTGTTTATTTGAGAAGCTTTTTTCTTGTTAATTTTGTCTTTTTTAACATTAAAATAAAAAAAACATAAATTATACTGAAATTAAATATCTTAAAATATACCATTTTCATATTATAAAAAATTTTAAGATACGATTTAAACCTATACGATTTTTTTGATATCATTAATAATTTTATTAAATCATTAATAATTTTATTAATATTATAAAATAGGGGTGCACAACCTTTTTGAGTGAAGGGCCACCTGCACATCAGGTTTACCAACGGAGAGCCTAAGCCATATTTTGACATACTGAATAAAACCACTGTAGTATAAAATGAGATTTAACATTTATTTGCTAATATACTTCAGGATCAAAAAACCATTTAGATATACAATAATATTAGCACAAAGAAAGCGTGTAAGAAATTGATTAGTTATATGTGTGACTCAACTTTGAGGCTCATAATAATATTGTATTAAAAATATCAAGATTTTCAAAACCATGTGAAAACACAAAGTAAAAATTGCTGAAAAATAACTTTTGACTCAAGATGAAATCGGCACAAATTAAGCATGTCCAAATTAGATTTAAAGTGCAATTCATAACTTATGAGTCATAATAGTGTAATAAATGCATCTGGACTTAAAAAACCATCTTGAAATAAGTACAAAAAATAAGTACATCACTCAAATTTATGTTTTAATTGGAAAAAATAAAGCAAGTCAAAAAGAGATTGAAATTCGGGCATTTGTGAATTGAACCAGTTTTAAAAAAAAAACTGATCAATAATTAAATCAATAATTTAAAACTGATCAATAATTGATTCCATAACAATAACCACCGAAAAAGCTGTGGAGAAACAGGAGAGATTTCCAATAAAATCTGTGCAAATTGAAAGCTTCAAAAAATTACTATGCAAATGTGTGATTCAAAATTTTCAACATTTTCTTATTTTTTAAAAAGTGTTTAGATGCTTTAGCAGATCGCACATCAGTTGACAGTCAGCAGGGTGAGCATCCCTATCACAAAGTCCCTATCGTCATACTGTTTTCTGATTTTCATGATCTCATTTTTGTTCCCAGGCAAAGTCATTTTGCAACATAAGTTACCCATGGAAGAAAAAGCTTTTAGGGCTCTTAAAAATAAAAACCAAAAATATTCACCTTTAAGTATGCTATACACACCAATGAACAGCTGAAAAGATAAAGGTTCTAAGTGACTTTTAAATGAGCTTGAGTAAAATTGATTTAAAATTTATATGTTAAGCGTAGAAAAGAAAATCACACTTTGTCTTTAATTTATACTTGACAGTTTACAATTCCAAAATCTAAAAATCCATAAAGCTCATTTAAACTACAAAAAGCAAGGCATTTTAAGATTACTTATCTACTGTATATTGCCAAATGCACTATTTTCGAAAAAGAAAAAAAAAATTTTGTACTTGGCACCTTCACTCATTTCTAAGAAATTTAAAGACTTCTAAAAAAAAATGAATGTTTGCAGTTAAAAAAGACTAAAAAGAGAAGTTTTCCCAAAAAAATCTCAATTTTTTAAAAAAAAAAGTCACTGAAAACCTTCAAACACTTCATTAAATGAGAATCCTGAAATTGAAGCAGAAATTTTGAAACTGTTATATATTTGCAAAAATTCTTCAGCTAAAAATAAAAGGTCCAGCTTATGCATTTTGGGAACCATTTCTAAAATATAGACTGTAACATTAACAGTTCAATATTTTAAACGCTTACCTGTCGGCACATGGCACACCGCTTACTTTGATGAGTGACTCCTTTTACACATAAAAAGCAAAATACATGGCGACAAGGTAACATAACCGGCTGTACGCATGGCTGGAGGCATACAGCACATTCAATTTTATTTACAGTCTCTAATGCTGGAATAAAGATGGCATTTAGTTTAAAAATGTCTAAAGCAATGACTTAAATATGCATGATAAATAAAAAAAATATGAATAAAAGGGCAAAATCTTTTATGCAATTTTAAAAATAAAGAACCACAAAATTCATTATTCTGCTATTAAAACAAATCAAATTACATACATGATCTCAAAAAAAATATTTAGAAAATTAATAACAGTTAGTAAAAGATAATAAATTAGTATTGTAATCAGAATGTTATCATTTTAATAAAAATATCAAAATGAGATTTTATAATTTAAACTGTGCGGATATGAATCTTGTTATTTTATTTTAAAATTGAGTTAATACAAATTGTTGATGTTTGATTTAAAAATTCTGTGGACACAAATCCCGATGTTTAACTTTGAAATCGCATTATTATGAATTCCAATGCATAATTTCTAAGTCACTTGGACACAAATTATAATCTTTTCTTTTAAATCAAGCAAATACGAATCTCAATATTTAATTAAGAAATTGCCTAAATACGAACATCACTGTTAGATTTTAACATCGCGTGAATACGAATTTCAATGTATAATCTCCAAGTCACTTGAACACGAATCATAATCAGAGCTTTTAAATCCTATGAATAACTAAACAGGGTCCTAAATTAGAATCACTTTGTGATTTTGAATCATGTGAACACGAATCAAGTGAATGTAATTTTAAATCATGTTTGCATCGGTATGAAAAAGCGTAAAAAGTAATTTTTTTCCCTCAGGAATTCAAGAAAAATTTTACACACACAGATTTTTTTATTCATTATTAGTATAAGTAGGAAAAAAAACAACAAAAAAAACAGAAAAACTCATCCCTGAAAGTCGAATACAACTGATGTAATCACGAGAAAAGTGCAGCTGCACAAAGCAGAATTAAAATTCTCATATCAATCACTGCCACAGTGGCCTGTGCGCCAGAATAAAGGACTCTTAACGAATTTTTTTTTCTTCTTTTCTAATAACATAAAAAAATTTCCACAAGGGTGACATATTTTCTGCGAACCGCCTTTATGCGTTAATGTATATTATACATATTTGTATCTTAATGAGTAAAAATAATTCTAAAATCAAATTCATACTAAAAAAATGCAACAAAAGGAACAAAGTAATCTTTAATAAAGATTACTCATAAAATTATATATATTACTTTATAAAGATTCTTTATAAATAAATATTCTTAGAAAGTGAACACTTACAACTATCTGCTTCAGCTTTATTCTCTTCCATATTGAATAAACTAGAATGAGAAAAATATGAAATTTAATTAAAAAATGAAACATAATTTAAATTTTTTTAAAAAAAGTTAAAATTTATCAATATGAAAAACTTAAATGCTAAAATTATGACATGATACTTAACTAAATTGCATAAAAATAGGCTGAAACTCGCAGATAAGAATAGTTTTCGAATCCTGATTCACCTAATAACTGCATGAAAATAAATTTATTTGTTGTCATTAAACATCCCCCACAAGAAAATCAGCAAAGTAAAGCACAGTAACTCAGCGCAGTCAACACCAAATTTCATAATTTTTCTTCGAGCACACTAATCCTATCAAATACACCAAAAGTGGTAGTGGGAACATGAAAAAAAAATTGTTCTTAGGGGAAAATGTTAATTCAGAGTTTCAAATTGCAATACTGCTCTAATGGACCTGAAAATTTAAATTTTCAGTTTATAGCCAGTGGCCGGTAGACTAACGTAGTAGTCCCTTTTTCCTCAAACTTAATGAGTCTGACCGATATAGATAGGCCCTTTTCCTTTAACGGTCACCTTTTGCAAACTTTTTATTTATTTGTTTTCTTTTTTTTGCTTGGATTAAATTATATTTCTTTTTAAAAAATCATATTAAGAATAATCTAAGGCCATAAAGTTAATTAAACAATAAAAATAATATAAATATGTGGCAACATTTAGTTAGACTTAATGACTTTGTATAAAAAAAATTAGGGTAGCAAAATTCACTTAATGTATGCATTACAACTTTGAAATAAGTGAATTTTAAACGAACTTTCTTTTAACATGAATCTTTACATCACCAATTGTTGGGGATTCTGAAGGATCAAAATTTTGAATCGAAACATAAGACATTTTAATGAAAATCCTGATTTCCAGAATCTTTCTGCATTGATTTACTCTTATCATTAAACAATGTTCAGAAAAAGAGAGAGAAAAGATGAAAGAGACTAGATAGAATATTTAATTTAAGTCGCCATTTTTTTGTTAACTTGCCGCGTGGCGAGTGCTTAGTTTCAGGTCTATCTTGGGGCAAGTGTTGGATCAATTTTTACTAAAAATTTTATTTCAAATATTACAATATTACTTCTCTTGCTTTTAAATTCTTTGTTTTCTCTATAAGTAGATGGAGTCCTTATAAATGTGCAGGTCAATAGATGGATAAAGAGGTAGAAAAATTATAGTCTGCTCAATATCACAGTTTTTTTTTTTCTGAATATGGTGACTACCTTTCCTCTAAATTATTTATTTTTCTAAATTTTTAAAACATCACTTGGTTTGCTAATTTACTTTATTTCTCATAAAACTTAACTTTGGAAAATTTAGAATGTTTTAAATGATATATTATTTTTAAAAGGTACCCCCTTTAAGTAAAAAGACAGCCAGAAATTTAAGAGTCTTTTGGACTCGTAGTTGCTAAAGTCTAGCGAAATCACTGCTAATGTTTCAAAGAGTTTATGAAATGTCATGGTATGGAATTGTCGCCCATAATTATAAGAAATGAACCATAGGGTACATTTCCATATCATTACTTTTTTATGGTGGTAAAAGTTTACAATCAGGTGTTACTTTTATTTTTAGAGATTTTTTTCAAACAATAAAAATGAAAATAAACCAAGAACATATCACACAACGGTAGACAAAAATTGTGATAACCGGAAGTTGAAGTCAATAAAAGCAAAGAATATAATGATAACCAAAAACTGCATTTCAGCAATAATCGAACGGAATTTGTTTAACTTAGGGTCACCCGATTATGCACTCTAACCTTCAAGGTAAATACAATCGTGAATGGGACAATGAGATTTTGTACTTGCAAAAATTTGAGAAAGAATATGTAGGTAAAAATTCAAAAAGGAACCAAACAAAAAAAAAAAAAACTTTTTTTTTTTCAGATTGGACTCCTCTTGAAAAAAATTCATCCTTATAACCAAGTGGGTTTTTTAAAATTTCATAATTTTCAATTTTTTTTTTAAATTATTAACTTATTATTGTATAAGTTCAACTCTGTAATTTTTTATACTAAGTTATATGAAGCCAAACATATTTCACTAATCTGATTCCTCAAACCAAATTTAATACAAATAAACTAAATATGTGGGGGGGGGGGGGAAATNGGGGGGGGGGGGGAAATAGAATACATAGTTAAAAAAACATTGTTAAATTATACTTATCCGTAAAACAAATTATGGTATAATATGCTTACACATTACTTTTATTGCATAATTTATTTGGATTACAAATCCTTCAGGGTTTCTTAAAATATATAAGGAATATTTTCTAATTTTTGATTAATTCAGTGCAAACTGTGAGTAATGCTGAAGCTGGACTGCAAAGAAAACTTTCTATTATGTTTAAATATTTTTATTAAAAAAAAATAAAGTGTGACTTTTTGATTAAATAAGTTCAAACTGAGAATATTGAAACTGAACTGAAAACTTTCTTATTATATTTTAAACTTTTAATAAAAAGAAATAAAGTAAGACTTTTTGATATTTTAAATTTAATAAAAATATTATGACATGAGATTAAGTTTATATTTTACATTTTAACGAGCATCCAAACTGTATTTTATATATATTATTTGTAAATCTTATTTTGATTTCCTAATACTTCATTTGATAAAAATTTTATTAATTACAAAACAAAGATTAAATTATCTAGTCAACATAAAATAAAATTATTTATTAATGAAATTTGCATAAATATTTTAGATATCGGTTGTTTGGGGTAATTTCATTCATACATAATTATTAACGAAGTTTAATGAACATGTCTAAATGTTCATTAAAGTCTTAAACTATATGCTTAGAAACAGGGATGAGATTAGCCAAAAGGCAAAAAAGCTGAATTTGCACGTCAGTAAATTTTACGCAAACGCAACCCTTTAATAATAAATTCCAGACAGTTTAAGGTTATAAATAATGTGTTGACATACAATTATGTACTAATCTATTATTATATAAATGATTACATTGATACTTAACATTTAGTGAAAATAAAAATTACCATATGAGAAAATAAAGCTGGAAATTATATTTTTCCTCAGTTTACATAAGAGATAATTGTTACTTGAAAAACTACCTTGTTTAGCAAATTAAAACTACTGAGAATATATATTAATATTTCATTTCTTTTAATAAATACTGTTATGTGATTTATAGCAAATATATCAGTAATATTACTTTTTAAATTATATTGGAAAAAAAAACTTTAACAATGGACCGAATCATTATGTTCATATTATAGTCTAATCTAACTACAGCCCTCTGAAACATATCAATAACAGTGAAGTAGAAATATATAGTAACTCCTTAACATACAAAAATTGCTATTTTAGTTTGAAAAATTACATGACAATCAGCAACTGTTTAGATAATTGTTTTTTATTTGATAAGAATTTTGCATTTTATAGCATAAATAACAGCAATTATAAATAAAATTTTGATGATGAGTTAATTAACTCTTTTTCCCCCCAAAAAATTTTTTTAATTAAATCCCTTTTTAAGTGATTGCTTTTGTTTGCTATATCTTTTATGTTTGCTATATTTAGTCGTTAGTCCATCTTCAAACATCTTGTGACAAATCCTATTTTTTCTTCTTTGCAAGCACAGAATGTAAGTTTTGAATATATTCCCTTCCAGTTTCTCTGATGTTGTAACACTTACATATACTAATAATCGTCGTTAGAAAAACAGTCACCTTTATAGTAACTAATTTTAAAAAAAATTACTTCTTACAAGAATCGCGATAGTTGATCTTAAAATTGCGTGAATATGAATAACAATTATGGATTTTGAAATCACATGAATATGAAACTAGATATACGATTTTGAAAATGAGAAAATACAAACTGGGATATAGAATTTTTAAAACGCGTAAATACAAATCACGATTCATAATTTTTAGATCGCGTAAATACGAATCATGATGCGTAATTTTTAGATTGCATAAATAAGAATTATGATGCATAATTTTTAGAATGCGTGAATGCGAATCCCAATGCCTTATTTTAAAATCACGTATAAATACGAAAATCAATGTTTGATATTATAAGCCGCATGAGCAAATCAAGACATTGAATTTTAAACTTGCGTGAATACAAATCGCTACATAGGTTTTTAAAATGGTGTAAATACGAATCACAATATCGGATTTTTAAATCTCGTAAATAAGAATCGCAAGGTACAATATTCAAATCGCGTGAATCAGAATCACAACACGCAAATATGAAAAGGTATGCTTGATATTAAAATCGTGTGAATAAGAATCGAGATATTAGCAGATTCCAGGCTTGGGACCTCTAAAAGGCTTGTCAGAAGCAGTTTCGTTTGAACTACAAAAATCGGATCTATCTGGAGAGCGGGTAAAAAATTCGGAAAATCTTATCTGCTGCGAGTATAAGGGGAGAAAATAGGTAAAATAAGTAAAAATGAGAAATGATTGGTAGCTATGTAGTTTGAATTTTCCGTTTCTCTTTGAAAATCGGTGAATTTTCTGAAAAAGCGAAATACTTATGAAAATAAAGTGAAATTTTTAGAAAACTCTGAATATTTGATAAAAAAGCTGAAATTCAAGTGATAAAAGTGAAAAAAGCGGAAATCAGCTAAAAAGCGGAAAAATTTCATCCCTGTTAGAAAACAAATATTCCAATTTTTTTTTCATTTATATAAAAACAAAAAATATAATAATGATAAAAGTTGCTATTTTATGGATGGTTGACCGTGTGAAGCTAAGCACAGATGCCACTAAGGGTTAAAACTCATTGTAACATTTCTAGGTTACTACCTCTGACAGATTTTTACGTCTAAGCTTGTAAAACAAGCATCCAATATTATTATAATGTATAGTGTTTACAATATAACACATCCTTTACACTTAAATTTCAGTAACACAAATGAATTCAGAAGCATGCTATGATGCTGTCCAAAAAAAATAAACAACAGTGCTATTTTACATTAATATAGCCAGATAAGGCATAACATTCAAAACACAGCACCTTACACTTTATGTTGTGACATTAATTTTCTTAAATTTTTTTCAGGCTCACGGCCTGTTAGAATTTATAAATTACAGAAAACTCTTATGAATCGCAAAATCATGCGCAACTTTCAACACAAATCACAATAATAAATTTTCCTAGAATATGAAGCCTGTTCACACACCGCCTCGTAAGCATAACATAAGGGGAGGGATAGATCGGAAGTTTTCTAAATGCCTTTCAATTATAGGAAGCTTGTCATTGTTTACATTCAATCAATCATCCATATTATTCTAAGACATAAAAAGAATTTTTGCGTCTAAATATAGAAATGAACATAACATGTGCTACAAAAAGAGACATACATTTCATTTCATGAATGTATACAATGTTCCGAAAAATTCCATTAACTTTAAAGCAAATTATGTATTTATTTATAATTTAAAACTAATCAAAGAATGATTTCAGTAAGCTCATGGTTATGCAATTCATTATACATTTGGAAGGACGAAAAATGAATGCAAAAGTTATTTTCTTTCATACCTTTGAATTCCTTTGGTAAAAATCAAGCAATATTTTTTCAGCGTGTACAATATATCCAAATTCGGTCTTTTTATGAAAAAACCCACTTATCCTCACAAAAAGTTGAATTTTTATTAAAAACCTAATATTTGGCAAACCCCGTACCCTTCAAGTTGGTCTCTTTCTGTTAAGATTTTTATAGAAACTCGTTAGCGACTTTCCGATTGTCACCAAAATTTGGCGACTTCAAAAATCATGTCTAACTTTAAAGATGATAATTTAAGCAAACTATAATTTAATATAATTAAAACATACATTACATATAATTTGAGAGGTTTCATTTTGTATATTGAAAGCAATAAAACTGAAATAATTAAAAGAACAAATCTGGATCAGAAACAGTCTGAGCTAGTAAAAATTAGATAATAAATTAAATACTCTGAATTACTTAAAATGGATATTTCTATGTCATGATCAGCCATGCCAGCGTACAATTACCAAGGCACCAAAATAAAATTTAAATTTTTCTTTAAAAAAAACATGAAGTTCACCCAGGTCTGTATATAAGCCGGGAAGTTGCCAAGACTTGATTATTTTTCTGAAGATTGCTGTACAGAAATCTTCCCACTGTGAATGTTTAATTCTGAGCTCTTTTGCGACTTTTTTAAAAAAATTTTCCTGGCACCACTGCTTGAAAGTTGTCTAGACTTGATTATTCTGCAACAAAACACGATACGGAAATCTTCTCTTTTTTTTTTGGAGGTACCCTTTGTACACAATACAGACCTTTGGAGGTTCTTTAGAAAGGGGGCATATCATGTAATATCAATAAAGGGAAAATCTCCGTATCATGATCAGTGGCAGAATAATCGCCAAATCTTGGCAACTTCTGGGCAGTTGCCAAGTTTGAAACATTTTTTTTTTCAAAAAAATTGGTAAAGAAAGCGGTTAAACGATATTTTTTAAAGTAGTCAATAAAATAAATTACAATACGCAGCAAACACAATGCAAGAAACAAAAATGAAAGAAAACTTTAGTACCCAGGAAAAACAAGAAAGATTTCTTTATCGTATTATTAAATATTTAATAAAACATTTAACATAAATATCGTAAGAAGAAGCAACAATGAATACGAAACAAGCTTATTTCAAACAAAGAAAAGTTTAATATGTTTCAGACTTCAAAATAGAATGTAGATTATAGAACAGAAGTGTGCGACGAGCTCGTTGTATTAGCTTATAGCTTTGTATTTCCATTAATGCAGCTTAGGGTATTGACTTTGAGGCGGTTGATGGCTTGAAAGAATTTGTAGAGGGATTGAAGTTTGGCCCGAAGATTGAAGGACAAGTTCACGATATCAGTATATACTGGATTCTGAAAATCTAAGGATTGGTAAAGTTCTTTAAGAGCATTCTGGAATGATGGACATTCCAGAATGCTCTTAAAGAACTTTACCAATCCTTATCTTTCGACTTCGCAGTATGGACGGTATGGATCGGAAGAGGATTAATTCTGAGCCTGGCAATTAGTACATCGAGATTTCAGGTGATGATTGGTGAACGGTAATCTTGAGATCCATCATCAACCCTTCCATGAGTTCTTTGTTGAGCTTTTCGTTAAGGAAGGCTTGGCTAAGATGCGAAATGAAATTTTGGTTCAGCGTTTGTTTGGAAGGCTGGTCTGCGTGTGTTCATTTTCGTTATTCCTGTCTGAAATGGAATGAATGAGAGAGACCTAACTAACTGACTTGATTCGGCAATTTGGTCAAGAAGAGAGATTCTCCGACATTTTCAAAGTGTCTTTTGTAAGAGGTAGAGAGATCGAATGGCTCTCCTTTAGACAGCTATAGTGGTCGCTGCTTGTAGCACAATGTTTGGGGGATAAAAAGTGGCCAATCCCTTGGTTGTAAAGACAGATGCATGAGAAGGAAGACGTCCTGAGATCGTGTACCCTTTGGAGATATTTATTCCCTCTCCATTTTTTTTCGATGCCCACCTGGTGAATGACCTTTCGTTATACAGGCATCTGAACGGCATATTTGTTGGCCACTCTTTAGGTGGGCCAACGTAGCTCCCAAAGTAAGGTAGAATGGTAAATAGACAAGATAAATTTAAACATTTGAAGGGATTTGAGTTGGAAGGTGTTATTTAATAACTTTATCTTGAAAGATATTCTTGCTGGTCATGCATCTATGCATAAATGGAATAAGTGGAGTCATTTTACCTTGTGAAAAGCTGGATGGAGGGTGATAAGCTGCAGTATAATTGAAGAGAGATGTGTCGGAAGTAGAATTTTGCTGGTAGCCATTTATGTCGTGAAACTAGTGTACTCACTCCCGCTTCTTTGAGAAGGAATGGAATGGGTGTCCAATGAGATTGATAAAATATTTTTCACCGATAGCAAAATATTTGCGTCGCCACTTATTATTTAAAATAGTCAAACGAGGCAGTTGGATTAAGACCCAGAATTACAGAAAGAATAATTTTTCAAAACATCTATTAACAATATAGTTAATAGTAATATTGAGATTAAAAGTATATTATATAATAATGCTTCAATGTTACAGCAAAGTTTTTATAAGAAGAAAAAAAAAATTACTAAAATTCTTTATTTACTTTCAATTTTATTATCTCTTTACGATTACTATGAATTTATAAGAGGCAATTTTTGGGTTTAGTGCCGGATCTTTCCATACTTTTGGCTAAAAAATGCATTATTTGACTCCCCCCCCCCTATACATCGAATTACCGGATAATTTCCTGATTTCAAGGGAAATCTCTATTTTTTCTCCCTATAAAAACTAAACATTTTATGAGCATATCAATTTTTGCATTATTTAAATTCCATCATAGCTTTAGATGTTTTACACTTTCATGTTGTGTTAATGTCTTTAGGATAATATTATATAGGGCATTCTTGCTTAGGCTTTTTTAGCTTACTTTTTATTTAAATATGCGCCTTGTTTTAAAAATTTATTACTGTTAAAATTTTTGAATCTGAGCAATGATCTAATAGTTCTACATTTAACTTGTTTACAAAATGGGGATTTTATGATAGTAGTGTAAATTGATCACTGTAAAGACAACAGAAAAAAAAAGGCAATTAAACAACAAACTTGTTACATTTATTAACTTAATATTGCATAATGTAGTTAAACAAGTAAAATTAAATATGTACAAAAATATTGATTCCTTTTTACAAAAGCAAAAACATGATATAGGCACTTTTTTACAATAAAATAATTTACGACACCTGGATACATGTTAAAATTTGATTTCATTTTGAGGACAAAACATGCATAACTAAAAACATCATTCAGTAAAAAAAGAGAAGGAAAAAATTGGTCAGGGCACAACTACATTGTTCTTAAAAGCAACACACATAAAATGAAAAGAAGACATTTATTTTTACAATGAGCACATCACAAATTTTAAAATTAAATCATAAAAGCTCTTTTATCATTTAAGTTCTAAAGCTTCAGGTGAAACTATTGGTCGTTATATCACACTATTTCACCCAAAATTGACAACAATTAGTTAAGGAGTAATAAGTACTTTTCTTTTTTGGGCTAAAGATCTTTCATAAAATTTTTACTAGGTATGAAGCTCAAGAGGTGTTATAAAAATATATCTATGTATAGTAGAAAAATATAATTATTATAATGAAACAATTTGTATAATAACTAGTAAATTAACAATTTGTATATTAACTAGTTAGTAAATATCTATAATCTGAGAAGTAATATCATAACATTTTTTTTTTCCTTTTGCAATTCTTCCTTTATTCCAATACCAGTCTAACTATGACACATCAAGTATTCAAAAATCATTTTAATAGTTTTTAAACAAATAACAAATGTAGAAGAATTCATCTGCCATGCTTCAAATGGTGTATTTTAAGTTGATCTAAGTCACCAAAAGTATATCTTAAGATAATTATCATTTTTTAATTATTTTAAAATGCTCTGTCAAAGGAAGGGTTTAAAATGCACTGTCAAAAGAAAATTAATTTAATTTATTTCATTATTTATTTTCTAGTACAGTGTCTTCAAAATGAACTATCAATACACACTGTGGCGAAGTTGACAAGCACCAGTAATATTGTTTTAGCTTTCAGATTATTAGAGCAAAATGAAATAAAGATTAAACCAACCAATTTTTTTTTCTAAATGTTTTATTTTTCAGACTGCAAGATTAAAATTAAACTTAAAATAAATTAACTCATTAATATCCAACTTAAAATTAATCTGGCTTTATAAATAGTAGGGATGGGTAGTTTTCATTACAAATACGAAGTTGAGTAATAATGGTTTAAAGACAGAATTGCAAATTTTTTCTGCAATTTAAATATTTACTCCTTATGCCAATAACAATGCTTTGTCTAAAAAAAAAACCGAATCAAAACTATGGGATGAGAAATCTTTCATCAAAATACATGTTTAGGACATATATGATAGTTTAAACTAAATATAATTTACACAAAAATGAATAGTTAACTTAATTTTGAAAAATAACTATTAAAAATGCATTCAATTTAATTTTTTCCCAATAGAATCTAAAACATATTAAACAATTTCAATTGAAAATCATATTAAATCTCTAAAATAATACAACAAAAAGAAGAAAAAAAATAATAAATTCACAAATTCCAGCAAATAAATGCTATATAATATATATTAATGAACATAATAATAAATATATTAAATTTAAAATATGATAACTAGTTCACTTAAAACTAAATTGAAAAGTAAATTCATACATAAATATTTATTTCAACCTATGATTCATTCTAACAACAAATTAAATAAAATATTTCAATATTTACAGCATTTGCTAAAAAAATAAGCAAAGAGCTTATTTTTTTCCTGATAATTTTGATTAGAATATTATTACATGATGTATTTTTATAAGTTAATTTCATTTATTACCCTTCACAAAACAGTAAAGTTTTACTATCACAAACAAATACATGACAAAGTGAAAAAGGAAAAAAAAAAAAAACACTTAGAATTAGAAGCTAAATAAACACTTCTGTTATCACAAATGAATACATAACAATTTCATATACGTTTATATAAGATTTTAATATTCAAATTATTAGACTACACTACACAGTGTTTTTTTCAAATTAAGTGATTTTAAAATAAAATACACATAACAATTCAACAAATTTTTTTTACAGTTAAGGAAGAAAATTTTATAAATCAGATCTGAAAAAGTACATCATATGAAACATACATAATTTTTACCTATATGATTAATTTAATATTTTGCCGACCGAACGAATTGCACCTAAGTAAAAGCTAGCCACCGTGCATTTTTTAAACTAACTATTGACAAATGGGTATATCTCCCAATTAGTCGGCAAAGTGTTAACTGACATAGTTAAAATTAGTCACTCCGATTCACAGTCATTTAAATTATGAGGATAAATCAATTTTGTGACTTTATAGAAATAAATAGAAACTTTAAAAAAAAAAAAAAAGAGTTAAAATTATTAATTATAATTAGTATATAAAATTAAACAAATTTAAAAGATGAAAATTTTTTTAAACAAATTTTTAACACACATGTAAATAAGCATACACTAAAAATGACAAGGAAATAGGAATATCCACCATTGCTTCAACCAACTAAGCTTTGGTGAACTGATTCAAAATTTTTTTAACATACCAACAAGGAATAAACGTGCTTCTTGCAGTGACAGGATGTCAAGTTATGTCGTAATGCAAAACACCTCAATGAAAGATGATCTCCGACCATAGAAAACTACCAGTCTCTTGATTACACACTTCTAGAATATTGTAAACATTCTCACTGCGATGTTTTACTGAATGAAGCAATAGTAGATATTCCTATGCCTGATCTTTACATATTTCATCAAACATACTAACCCTTTTTGAATCAACATTTTAATTTAATTCAAGGAATGTTACTACTAAAATAAATACTTAAGTTATCAAAAATAGAGTTGGGCAAGATATGAAAATTTTAAGTATCAAGAATATTCTCCTTACAATTACATTATCAGTGATTAAGACTATTAGACACTCATTTATTAGGAATGTAATGTTTCTGAGCACAATTTGGCAAACTTTTTATTTTCCAAGTCCAACTTGTCAGACACCAACGAAAACACAATACGATGTATACTATGCAAGGTAACTTCGCTCCCAGTTGCGGAGCACAACTTGGCGCTGTTTCAAGCCACGATGGAATGTGACAGATAAAGGAATTGTTCCATCTTGAGATTGCCCATCAGCAGGGAGGTCAAGTAAGGTCTTTTCTTCTTCTGCTCTAGCAACTCGGTTAACATATCCACCACTCTCGTCGATAGAGAATCGAACTCTGGAAGTTCCTGTGCTTCCGGAGCTTTCGTCACTCGGTGTACCCATGCCATCAGTTGGAGTTGTTCTTAATGGAGAACCAGAATCAGAAAAAGAAGTCCATTGCTTGGGTGAGGTCCTTCCTTTTTTCGGTAAAGGCGGTAAGCGACTGTTATGACCCTGAATATCTAAAGTAGAGGGACGTTCTTGGCTTTTCCTGCGTTGGAAAGAGGGAGCATTTGTTGAATATTTAAGTAAGCGTGGAGAAGTAACTTCTGAATCGATGGTGTCAGCCTCGTCACTATGGAAGGAGGGATTAATGTTCGAAGAGGTATTGGAAGCATTTGACACATTGGAAGGAGTGCGTTTATGGCCGTATTTCGATCGCTGAGGAATGCGTGACTGAATGCTGCTCAAATCACTCGAGGTTGAAATCTGTGAACCGGGGTTATCGTAAGCAAATTTTCCTTGGAGATAAGACCATTCAGAGAAAGAACCTTTTTCAGGTAATTTTGCATCTTGAAGGACATCTGTCGGGCAGTTGAAATTTGAACTAAAATTGTCACTTTCGCAGCTGGTATTGGAAAGTTTTCGAGGTGTTGGCAATGGCGAGGCCTCATTATTCCATTGGAAATCAGCAAACTTCAAGTGAGAAGAACCATCCATTAAAAGACTAGGTCGATAGTGGCGAGTTTGGCCATGATAAGTATTGTGGGGGTACCCTGATGCTGTTGAGAACTCATAATCTGTAATAAGTTTAGGTGGCCCTAAAAGAAAAAAAAAGAGGAAAAAAAAACATTATGAAAAATACACCAATTAAAATCTGTTGTAAATGAAAATTTAAAAATTGAAAATTAATAAATTACGCAAATAATGAATTTGGCAAAACCAAATATTTTTTTGGGAACTCATTTTGTAAGATGTAATCTTTTATTGGTCATAAAAGTTCTTTAGAAATTTCTAATTTAGCAAATGGAGCTAAAGGTAACTGAAAGTTGTGAGTGGAATTAGACTTGAGACCAGTAAAATTTTCTGTTTGACAAATCATAGAAATTAAGATGTATACTTCTTTTTATACGAACTCAGTATTGCTATAAATATAATTCAATATACTCAAATTAGGAAAAATAATGCAAAAATTTTATAGTTTTGAAACTTAGAGAAAATAATCCTGTGGGGGCACTTATTCCTAAAACTATAATGTTAGGATACTGTTAAGATAATAAAAAGTATCCAATGCAAATAAAATTTGGTTGTTTAACTCTGTCCTAATCAGGTCAAAGTGTACAGCATTTAATTTACAAAAAAATTTTAAAATTTTAATTAGGAAAAATTTAATAAATATATTATTTTTTTTTATTCTTGTAAGAATTATTACATTTCAGTTCTTTCAGAATATTAGGTATCAATTGACAAAAGTAAATTTATCACTCACTTTAAATTTATTAATTTACTTAAAATTTATTATGACATTTAATGTAATAATTATAAAATTCAAAACCAAGTTTGTGTTACAAAACAACAATTTTCAATAAGAAAAAAGAAGTCCCTCCCCCATAGCAGTTTTTAACAGAGAAGTTTTTCAATCCCATTTTAATTTGCAAGCAAAAATATTGAAGCATTCAAGCCAGTATACATCTTATACCTATTTGAAATTCACATTAATATTAAGCTCGAATTTTCAATCAATGAGTATTAACGACATAAGAACTCAAAATATTTATAGCCAATTCAAATTGCTGTAACATAAGGTATTATTATTACTCACACAACACAAGACATCACACAACTAAATATGGATCAGAGAAAGATTTATATAATATTCATATGCAGGAAAAATTTTGTAAGATAAACTTTTTTAAAACAAATTACTTAATGCCCGAAAAAACTTTTGCATTTCAAAAATATATTTCTGGCAAAATCTTCCTTGTTAAGAAGTTAGTTTTAAAACCACAAATATTGTGAATTATGAATAAAAATGTGAATTCAGAGAGATTTCTAATTCCTCATATTAATTTTAAAAATCTTGTGGATATAAATCTCGAGCAATCACGGTAATATGAACCTCGGTACCTCATTTCAAAATCATGTGAATACGAATAACAATATTTAATTATAAACTCGCATGAATATGAATATCAAGGTTTCATTTTAAAAGTGAGAGAATACGAATAGCCGATGTATACTTTTTAAGTCTAATAGAAGATAAATAATAATAGCAGCTTTTAAATAGTGTGAATAGGTAATGCAATTTATAATATAAAATCGTGAAATTCAAAACACAATGCGTGATTTTAAATCATAAATGTAATTTTAAGTCATGTTTGCATTGGTAGGAAAAGGCGAATAATTAACTTTTTTCTCAGAAAATTGCAATCTTTTTAAATGAAACTTTAAATTTTTTTAAAAGGAATTTTTCATTGAGATTTTCTTTCTAGTAATAGTAAGAAGTTTTCCACAAGGGTGACAAATTTTCCGCTCATGGCGTTCGCTTACATTATACAGATCTTTCAAACTTTGCTCCAGAAGATTCACTTAAGAGCTGAGATAAAAAATTTTCAGAGACTAGAGTTCACACTGACCACAGTGCTGACTTAAAATATCCTCAGTGGTAGACAGATCCTGGGTCAGCTCTCCATGCTGTTAGGTTAACCGTGAGAGGTTCTGTGCTTTTTCTCACCATGTATTTATCACAAATGCATGTTAGATCCATCAGATTTCTGCCAATATTAAATCCAGGAGTTCCCTCATCTTCTGAATTGGGTTCAAAATTACAAGGCTACGGAGTTGAACATTGGTAACTGTAAACCCAAAATTGGGCTAGCTGCTTAAGAACAGTTATACAAATAAAAAACCTTTATTGATTGATATTGTTCGAGCAAGACAATGACTTGTCTAAAAAGCAGGAGAGCACTTGATGCATGCATATTGTTGGCAAGCTGTTCCCCAAAATAATTAGAAATCTATATTACTTATAGATGAGACGGATTTTCCTTTCATTTTTGGTAATAGTAAAAAGTTTTCCCAAATAGTAACAAATTTTCCGCCATCGGCATTTGTTTATATTATACAGGTCTGCTAAGAGTTTCTAAAACTATGTTCCAGAGGATGCACTCAGAGCAACGATAAACAATTTTCAACGTTCTGAGGTTTTCCTCGCAGTGTATCACAAATGCATGTTAGTTCCATTAAAAAATCCCCCTCAAAATTTGAACACCTGTAACTACCAAGATTGAATGTCAGATTTTTACAATTTATTCAATGAAACAAATTAAAGCTAAATATCAACACTTTCCAAACGTCTACTAAATCCTACTTCAGATTATTCCCAGTAAATTTATGTTTAAGTAAAATTCTTTAACAAATAGAATGAATCAAAATATAGAATAATGAATCAATTTTTCCTTGAATTCATTTTTATTTATGCTCTTGCAGTTTGCAAGCTTTAATAAAGGACTTGCATTGTTAATGCTATTTTGCTATTAATTATGTAATTACAGTATATAGATGCGAGATAAATTTTAATGGTTTCTGCAGAATGTCAATTTCAAAAGTACTATGCGACTGAATGATTGTGACTGTGATTATTTGAGATTATCTGCTCAAACCAGTCCTCACGTTTCTAGTTTAATGTTTATGTGTAATTATCATTCTTCTGTGTCAATCATATATAGTGTAATATTTTCTTGCATTTCTCTTTTTCTTCTTGTAGCTAGTTAATTGTTTACACTTTAACTCAGGGAGAATCTTTCACTTAGACCGAGAGCCCATCAAACTGCCTTTTCACAATTCTTGAGTGGCCACACCAGATCCCTTACTTTTAACCAGGGCCAAAAAACTTATCCTGATTATCATTGGTGCTCGACAAACATGCCCCCCTCCCCCTACGCATATTCCGACTTGTTTGGGGTTCGGTAAAGATGAGGTCCTGCAAGACTCCAGTCTTTTTATGGACTTTTTGGAGGTGTTCGGATTCATGGGAGTAGTCTAGTGCTGCTAGACGACTCCGAGATCAACAACAACACTTTAACTATGTGATATCTTTTTTTCTTACTGCTATTTCATTGTCTATGTGCGATTATTTTATTTTTAACAAGAGTTTCAATCAATGTTTCAGATACATAATTCTTCTTGTATTTCTATTTCTATTCCTTTTCTGTTGCTAATACAGTGTTGACATGCAATTATAATCATGTTTATTAACTAAGCTATTTTATTAGTCGATCATTGCAACTACGACACATCTTTTCTTCTTTCATTTTCCTTCTTTACTAGCTAGTTCATTACTTCTGTATCATTATAAAGTAAATTATACAAGTTATTACATATTTAAATTATGTCATACTTTTTCATGTTCCTTTACCATAGTGCTTGTTCATTACATAAATTATATGACTTTGTACATACTTCAATCACTGTAATTATGTCATTACATTTTCTTGCATTAATTTTTTCTGTTGCTTATGCACCAATCACTACAATTCAGCTCTACATAGTCTGCCTATGTATAGAACTAACCTGTAAGGCCATCTGTTGCTATGAAAACAAGAAATAGCATATTTCAAAGAGAGAAGCTTTTAAAGAAGAAATATTATTGCATGTCTCTCACTAACAAAAACTTGTCTTAAATATTGACCCAACATCCCTACCTGAAATAACTACCTACCATAGCCATCCCCAATGATCTAGATGATTGATGAAGAAATATTTTTACATAGACAAACTATAGTTTTCACTGCATTTTCTTTTTTTTAGATCACTGCTAATGTGTAATTATTATGTCTTACCAATGAGTATATGTGCTAATCAACATAATACAGTTATATGTATAATTTCTTCTTTTCCTTTTGTTAATGAATTATTTATGTAATCATCAGAATGTTTATTACATGAGTTAGTGCATACATAGATCCATGACTTTTCATGATTTTTTTAAAAAAATAGTAAAACTCATGACAAATTTTGTTCAATACTGAAATTCATGACTTTTCCATGATTATTCATGCCTTTCCAGGTGTGTGGATACCCTGTTTCTACAAAATGCATTTTCTTTTTCCTTTGCGACACTGTTTATTTAAATGACAATGATTTAAGTTGCATACCTGCCAACATAGGAGCAATAAAATAACGGACAATTCACTAGCGACATTTTTTAGGCTACGAGTAAAGTTTTGATACATCGTGCAAGTCAAAATTGGAAATAATATAAGCACTTACATTTAGCGAAGTAAAAATTACGCACATAACTCGTAATCTAAAGATCGTTTTAAACAATTATTTATAATTACTTCAACTATTAACACGCAACATACTGCAGTACTGGTAATAGCACCATCTGTTGAGGAATAAGAGAAGTATTTTTGCCATCAGGGGATATTTGATAACACAATTTTTGAAATAAAATTTCTTCAACAAATACAGAGAAATTTGAGAATATAAGGGTAAACAGGAGACAGTGTAAAATACTGAAGTCTTCGTTACAGAAACAGGAGACTTGGCAGGTATGTAATGATTTTTAAAGTTTTTAACTACAGATGAGAGTGCAAATGTATTTCTTCAAGCCTGTTACATTTCTTGATCAAACTAAAAAAATGTATTCCTAATAAAGAATATATTTGTCATAATGAATATATTTGTCATCATTCAGTGCAGGTGTAGCATGAACAATGGTTGGCTCACCTTCCTGAAAAATAATTCTTCAACAGAGTATTTTCTTCACTTGTGTTATCAGAGAATAGATATGTGATGAAAATTTGTCAGCATATTTTAAAATACTAATGAGTCAATAATTTTTTTTAAAGAACATAGTTTTCATTGAACCTTTAAAATGGTGCACTTAGCACAGTAAAGCTTGTTATTTTCATAGACTTGTGCTAGACATATGATCCAATCTCAAATAACTAAGTGAAAGAAAGGAATGTCAGAATTCACTTTTACATCAAAGGAAAATTTGTTTTCCCTTTGTTAAGTAAGAAAACTAAATTCTAAATCAAAAAGAGCAGGTATTTCTGATTTTTTCTTTTTTAATAGTTATTGATTATTTCAAGATCACAGCTGCAAAATAAAATAAGACTTAAAGAGCCTAAAGTTGCAATTGACCTAACAACTAAATTATAATTATGATGTTAGAAATTTTTTCTCCAGGAGTGTTAAATAAGATGAGAGATAACTTTAAATGATTGTAATAAAAACATGTTTAAATTAATTAATTCCAATTTTTTAAAATTTTAATAAACCATTTCTTTGCTAAGAGCTTAAAACTAAAAATTCAGCGTCAATTTTTTTTGCTATTGATAAACCAGAGCACTTTTAGGGAGGACGAGCAAAATAGGAGGAATTACTGATTTTATTCGCAGTTACACCAAAGAATGCAGTTTCTTTTAGATCTCATTACTTTTTCAGTCATTTTTTTTCTAAAAATATGTTTCAACATGGTAAAAATTGAAAAAAGCAGTACACTTTACGATGAATGAGTTTTATCTATAATGTATTTAGCTTCTTGATTAGAGTTCCTAAAAGCTTAAGGATTATGTTTTAATAAGGGTACTTTCTATGAATTTGTATTTATCTTGCAGATAAGGTGAACATTGAGACTAAGAGCTTAGTGGACGGGGGCAGTGACAAAAAGTGAACTTGTTCACCAGAATTAATAATATATGTGCATTAGATCAATCAACAGATTCAAACAAGCAATAAGCTGGCAACAATTGGAAATATGTATAGACACACATACATTAAACAATACACATCAAAGTAAAATGAATGGCTAAAAAACAAGATCTTGAAGCATATCTTAATATATCATGCTATGGGTAATCTAAATTGCAATGTAAAAAAAAAAGCAAAGTGACAGAAGAATGAAAGAAAAAAAAATCTTTATTAAGCAGACACAGCACAGACAATCACAATAGTTATTAAAGCAAGAATCTTTATTGGCAGAGATCACAAAAAGCAAGGCACAAGTAAAATAGTTCAATTGAGGAAGAGCAAAGCTGTTTCAATATGAATCACTTTAGATTGAATGCTTACAATACACTATCATTATAATAAAGATGAACATATACATGCAAGAAATCTATTAGTATTTCTTAGGGAAATAGATGCATTTAGCTAGCATGAAAACGAAAAAAGCACCAACAAACCATTTTACTAGAGCATTAGCACTTAATTAGAGCATTAGTACATCTGAGCTGTATAGTAAAACTGAACTGAATAGGGCCCCTTAACTGAAAAGTCTAACTGAACTGAATTGAATAAATAAACTTGAATAGCAAATATGAGAAGAGAAATGCAATACTTATTTGGCAACTGAGCACAAAATTGCAAATGTGAGAAGGAGAAAAATGTTACACTGCTAATGTGACTAGTCAAGAATGTTATTTTCATATGTAACAATATAAAATAAAATTTACAACTAAAGCCTGTGTTCAAAACTTCAGGTCTTTGCATTCAGTTTATTTTTGGACCACCGACAGTGCTAGCAAATTAGATGAAAAATACGAAGTTACAGATTTATTTATTTTTAACCATTTCTTTTCAAGTAACACACTGCTGAAATTTCAAAAATTCAAAAATTTTTCAGTTTTCAAAATTATTTAAACAGCTGTAATTTTAGAAATATTTGGTCTAAGAAACTAAATTATATGCCAATTTGTTCAATTTCTAATGGCACATTTCATAAAATATATGACATGGCTAGGTTATTTTAAAAAAGTACAAAATTAAAATTGGTATTTTTTCTGATTTTTTTAAAATTTTTTTTTAACTTCTATGAAGCAATATTTGTACCTGATTTCAAGACGGTGCACTTATGAGCTTATAAAGGAAAAAAAAATTTTTTTTCCCTGTTTAACACTGACATAACCCACTAACTTGAAAATTTTTTTTTCTCTGGACCCCAGGAAAAAAAAAAAAAACTCTCGAAATTTAGCACACATTGTGAAAAAAGAATAAAATTATTATTTTTCCATTCAGAAATATTACATTTTTTAATTGTAATCAAAATTTGCATTCTAACGAAAGATTGTGTCTTTTAAATAATTTAGCCATGTTATAAATATATCTTATGAAATACCCCTAAAAACTGAACAGATTGATATAAAATTAAGGTCAATAGATTAATAAGTTTTAAAGTTACAGCAATTTAAAAATTATAAAAATGCATAACTCAAAAACAAATGGTACAAAAAATCTGACTGTTTCTTTCAAGTCGGAGCAAAATTAACAAACATGCCGACAATTGAAACCTAAAATTTGGATTCAAAATCATGGATCGATTTGATGCGGAATTATCCCTTTATTCTCTAATGAATTACCATAGAATAATGGAATGTAACGGTTTCAACTAGGTTTGATTAAATAAAAATGTAAAAATAAAACTATTAATGTAAGTGTGAAAGACTCAGTTTAAGTGATTAGAGAAATTCCTTAACACAACACGGAACTTCGACTAAACAAGTCTCTCTTAAAACTCAAAACTATAGCAAATTTTTGGCAGTGACATATGTACAACGTATGTATGTGGGGTTTTCAACATGTACAAATATGTAACAAAAAATTAATCATGGATCCAAGGCAGAATCTTGAGTCATTAAAGAACTAATTTCTTAGCTTCAAAACTTTGGATAATGAAAAATGATGATAATGATTCTTGAATAAAATGAAATATTTGTTAAAACTTAACAACGAACAGAATTCCTCAATGAATTCTTTCGATAGACTGCTTTAAAACTATTCTTTCGAGAGACTGCGTTTTGTTTTTTTCGGAAGCTACCTCTACCGTTAGGTGGAAAATACCACACACACGAAGAACACTCACCAGTCTCTTTTGGCCACCACTTTTCAGCGTCCTCGACATCATCGGGCCAAGCAGAGGGTAAGCGTGGGTGGAGCGAAGAGTATTTGGGAGCTCTGATATCAAATCCCGCAGCCACTGAAGCTAGAATGGCACTCATGTTTCCCAATATGGATCCCATGAACCTCCGTGGCAGAGAGGATCGTTTTGTGCTACTAGAAACCTCTCCATTTCCGTTATGAAGACTGTAGGATCTGCAGATGTTTATCTCACTGTCATAAGCTGGAAAAATACACAAAGAAATTAGTAAAAAAATAATAGCTTATCTAAAATTGCAAATTTAAAAATATATTAACCAGGATGCGTAGCCAGAATTTTCAAAAAAAAAACTTTCCAGAAAAAAAAAATCATAATTAGAATATGTGCAGTAATAAAAATTATTTTTTTCTATTGTTTAATGTTAATTTATAAACCTAAAGTGAACAAAATGCAAAAACATTTCAAAAACTGCACATAATACAAAATAAGTTTCTAAAAATATTTCAGAGAAAATTGTGAAAACCATGCCTTTTCTGTAATTTATGAGGACATGACACGGCAAAGAAAAAATATTTTTAAAAGAGAAAATTAAACACATTTTACAAACACTAAATAAAAAAAGCATCCTTAAGGGCCTTTTAAAAACAGAAATAAAAAATAAGCACTTTTAAGCATTTTTTAAAAATGCCACCCACCCTGTTAATTTATTATTAAAAGCATTTCATAACACTCTAAATTATGAATATCAAAGATTTTAATTCAAAGTTTTCAAAATAAAATCTTTTTTCCTTTTTTCTTAAGGAAAAAAACTCAGAATTAGCTTCTAATTTCATGATAATAGAGTTTGTATTTCTTTATTTCTAAATTTTAATCTTTATTTCTGTTAATTGTAAAAGCATATGATCGATTATTAGAAAAAAGTCTTAATTTATTTTTATTTGTAAAAATTGTTTCATTCTTCCCTAAGAATTAGTTAAATTTTTGGAAAGCTTATTTTGAAACAGTAACAAGTTGGAAAACTCAGAAAAACCTTGTCATCCACAAAGTTACCCCATTTTGCAATAATTATTTAAAAGTTTTAAAAAGAAGCCATAATATAATATATAAGGAGTAATTTTTAAAAATACAAATTCCACAATCTCCTTCCTTTTTATAACTGGATTCACATTAATCCTCTCTTTGTTTTCGTGTATTATTTCCATAATATTTTGTCTATTATAATTCAAAGTTAACATACATTTAACTATTGATAATTTACTTTTCTAGAAGGGGAATAAGTATATAACTATATTTTCAATAGAGCTAAAAACGTTTCATACACATAATTTATGATTTCTAGAACCTTGTAAGATTTGTCAGATGTAGGAGGAAAGAAATGTAATATTGTTTTTATGACTGAAATCAAAGAATTTTAAAAATGTAAATAAATAATGTATTAAATGTTAACACTTGATATTAAATGTTTCAATTTTTAAATTGATTCTTATATTATTTTAAATGCAAAATAATTTAAATGCAAAATAATTTAAAGCCTATAACAAAAATAATAAGGTACATAAAGAGTGCTCTTAAAAAATATCGTTTTTTTTTTTAGTTATAATTTATATGATTTATTTGAATTTACATATAGTATAACAAAAATAATAAAGTACATAAATAGAGTCCTCTTAAAAAAATATTGCTTTTTTAAAGTTATAATTTAATTTGAATTTATATATTGTATGTTACATTAAATTTGTATTAAAATATGTCCGGTAATTTTTAATTACTACATTAATTGCTACATTATACCAGTAATGAATGTTTTACATTTTTCAACAATAAACTGTAAGTATGACTTTTAATTCATCAAAACCAAGCTTCTTGTATTTGAAAATCATTTTTTTTTAAATGGCATACTTGTAACAGCAATATTTCTGATGATAATTACAATTAATGCAATATCAGGTAATTAATTATGACAATTAAACATTAGACATTGTTATATTGACCAGGCAGGTATTATTTTATATGTATCTTTTTAGATTAAATTAAAAAAAAAAAAAATCAAAGTTGATTTGATAGATCTAATGGTTATGATGTCATACGTACTTTATGAGTACAAAGTATGTTAATAATTGTATATTTCATATATGAAACCCTAATTTCTTCTAAACTATTAGTTCAAAGGACTCTTTATGTGCGGGACTCTTTATGTTTGAAGGAACATTAAATATTACTGTCAGATTTTCACCAAGTTGTACAAAACAAAAGTATTGAATTACAAACTAAAATAAGTAGATTTTTTAAAATATTTAATTTCATATTAAAAAATTCGGGCTACAATATCTTTAATGTGCACCCATGTATTAAACAATCAATGTGCAACAGATATCTACTTGTTAAGATATAAAACTTTAAAAAGGTTGGTATTAAAACTTACATAGTAGCACACAAAATGTTTAATGACAAAATTGAGGTTTGTCTGCTGCAACTACCAGAGAATAGATACTTACATTTTAAATTTACAAATGTGTGTGTAAATATTTTCGTCCAAAATGAGTGGTTTCAAAAAGTTAAATCGGAGAATTTCTTCGAGAAAATTTCTGATACACACATGCTAAATTATATTCACAAAATAAAAAAAAAAGAAAGAAAAAAGAGCAACATACACGATTATTTTTGTACTTGAATAAAAATTTTCTTGGATGCAAAGCCAGAGAAATAATTTTTTTGCACCGTTGGTATGATAAATTTCACAGAAACGAAGAAATTAGGTTTTTATCAACGGGAAAAGTATTTTAAACCCATATAGATTTTTTACGAAAATTGTCCGCAAAAAAATGACAACTAACACATTTTTAGTTCGCGGGCCACAAAAAAAAGGCTGCGCGGGCCACCAGTTGGAAGCCACTGATCTAGATTACAATGTCAGTTGCTTAAATTGGTATGAGCAAAAATGCATTTACTTTTTATCCATCAAAACATTTAATAAATTTAATAACTGCTAAACTATTAAATCAGACAACTTGGTTTTATTCTAATTCGATTTAGCGTAATGATAACCACAGGCAACAATACTTCACTTGCCTCGATAGAAATGTTGGGCACGTAAATATGTATAAGTAAAAAAACTGTACTTTTTATACATAAAATACAAATAACTTCAAAATAATAGATAATAGCATCAGACTGGAAAAAAAATTATATTACACAAAAGTTAAAATAAATAACAAAAATACCGCTACGAGCAACTGTTTGGACAATTAAGAAACCCTATCGGGAACTCCTTACTGCAAAGTTGCCATTAGAGTCAAGATAATGCCTACAGTTGCTCATATTTCTCTCTCGTGTGATAAACGTATTATTGCAATTGAAGACAATAATAGCTGTGTTATCAAAAATTGCTCATGATGGAAAAATTATTGTGTTTTGCTTTGCAAAAGAAATATGTTTTAATTTAAATAAGAGAATGTAAGAAATTATACTCATTTACAATTAGAAAATATAAAATTAATAAATTTCACTATCAAATAAAAATATGAACTCTTGAGATTTTGCACCTATACTTATTGCCTTCAAGCTAATACAACAAACAAAAAATTTGTCTTTTCGAATACTTCTCTATGTTCCTCAAATATTGTATAGTATATATAGTATTGTGTATAGTATGGAAATAAATCAGAATAACATAAAATTTGACTTTAAGAGGTATTTAAATGCAAAAAAACTATTATTGCCTATAGTGAATATTTTCAAATAAAAATCATCACTATCGAAAAGTAGAAGGTACTTAAATAATTAAAAAATTTAATGATTTAAAACATTAAAAAAAGGGGTCGGGAAGGGATTTATTCAGTCAATAACAGCTTAAGGCATCATAAAAGAACTAGCACAAGCTGTACTCAACAAAAATTTTATCAGAGTTATCCAATATGAAACTACACACGTGAAGATTAAATACTTATGTACAATATATGTATGTGTATACAATGTGAAAAAAAACACCTTTTATAACCATTAACCCACATGGAAAATAATGACACACATTAAAAGAGAAAATTATACACACCACTATCTGTTAATGCTGCAGTGTTTAAAATACCACCCCCAGATACTGGCAACGGAGGTTTCTCTAAATTTGGAGCACTTTTTGACCATCTTTTATTCCCATCAATGGGAAACATCTGCCGAGAATGATATCGTTCCTTTTGATGTACGGAACTTGGTCCCCATGTTTTACCCTTCAGACCATCTGTTTGCACTGAAATTGAAATAACATGGTTTTAATTTTTTTTTTAAATGCACAAAAGGCAAATTATAAAATGCATTACACAAACGAGTACTTACAGGCATAAGCTCGTAGTCGAGGTAGATTGGGCGATGAAGGTGGGCTATCAGGACTAGATGGGTTATACAAACCTTTAGAATTTCCTCGTAGATTTGGGCTTTGCTGAACAGTTATATTGTGGCGAAAATCTAAATAAATAAAAAAAGGACAATACAGGAATGATTACAAGAATTTACTTTTAAAAATGTTTTTGCTTTTCTAATTGATATTTTCCAATAACTCGTCATTTTTAGCACCTAAGAGATTTTAAGCTTGGAGTTAACTCCATTTAAAACAAATTGAAAAGCAAAAAAGTACACAGAACTCCTATTTTGTTTTACACGCATAGTGTGACAAGTAATTTTAAGAGATGTGAAGTATTTGACTTACCATAGTCTGTAAAACAGGGTTCCCACTGTTATTTGTAGAAAATTGGAAGAAATATACCAAATTTATATAATATAAGAAATATACTTGAATGAATGTTATTACAAGTGCCAATATTGAAGATAAACTTAGTATCAAAGTAAAATAGTATTTATTACATTAGAAAATGCAGAATCTAGCCAATGTTAAGTAATTTTTTTTGTTTGATCATCAAGTGACTGCAGGGTTCATACAGAGATCAGAAGAAGAAATCCAAGGAGTCCAAAATTTTAAGGACTTATCAAAAATTTAAAAACTTTGTGTAAAAGATAGTTTTTTTTTTAAAATTAAAAAGCAGTTATTATAAGGAACTTGCAAAAATGTATATTTTGAATTTAATTTCTATCCCTTTTGAAATACATTTTGACTTTGTCAAACTTCGTCAAGAAAAATAAATTAAGTTATCACTTTGACGCATAAATACATTTTCCAATTTCAAATATTTTAATAAATCTTGTTAAAATACAGATGTTAAGGATTGACATAAAAACCTACCAATCTTATATTTTTAAATTTGAATACATAAGAAAATCTAAGGCATTTTATAGCAAGAAAAAAAAATCACAGCAAATTATTAATTGAGTTTGCTTGTAACATGCAAAATTATTTGCTGTTATTTTTCTTCTTCTAACTCTTGCAATTCAATTTTTATTATTTTAAAAGTTTTCTTAAACTGCTAGATTTTGACAGCTAAGTCATATCCAGTGGTGCAAGTGGCTAAACGTGGCTTTAGAGGAACAAAAAGGCAATTTTGGAGCAGTGAAACGAAGATTTGGAGCATATGTAATAAAATGAATTAAAACAAGAATTTAATAACAAGAATTTTAAATTTTGTTCATTAATAACGTGTCTTATTTTTTCATTTTTATGAAAGTCCCTGCATTAAAAAATTAAGTTTTTATTTGGTATCTTCCAATGCTGTTAAATATTCTGCTATCCTCGACTTTTCCTCAGATAAGAGGATCTGTTCGCTTTCTATAATCGACATGTCTTTATTATTTAACCCATATTTAATATTTTTTTCAGCTGTGGCTGAGAGATCCTGAGAAGCCTTCAATTTTCTTTTGCAAATCAATTTCAGCAGCTTTCAATCTGCTTTCCTCAGTTTCAGTATTTTCACTTTCTTTTTTCTTAACCTCTAATTGAACAGAATAATTTTTAAATGTTGCACCAGCCACTTTAATCATATCTTTGTCAACTTTAAAGTTATTTAAACTCCCTATTTTGCTGATATGTGACACAACTTGTCTCAAACCATTAATACTATGTGAATTTAAACTTGCCCTATTGTCAAGAAGCTTTTTGTTCACACTAAAACTTCTTTCAACATCGGCATTCCCACGTGGTATGCACAAAAGAGATTTAAAAAGCTTTGCTAAAAGAGGATATTTGATATTTCTCAAATTTTCTTTTTTCACAACATATCAATTGGTGCATATTCATTTCAGTCAGAAGAATAACCTTCTGGTTTTCTTTGTAACCTCGTCCATTCATCTAGTAACAAAGATGCCTTAATAGAAGTGCCTTCCATTCTCATTACAGGATGCAACACTTTAATATGGAATACTAACCTATTTTCAAAAGGCAATGCTTTTAATAACTTTTTTGCACATGCCATAGACCTGGCACCTAAATTAGAATTTTTTTCTGAAGAAGATAAGGATGTCATCACATTTGTGATATCTAGTCCAACATCTATTAAATTTGAATTTTGCCAAATATCTGCGTTTTCTACATCCAATGATTTTAAGTCCTTTCCTGACAAACTAAGAAAAGCATAACTCTTTAAAAAACGCCCTAACAATGCCTTTACTAGAGACACCATTTCATCATACAGCAAGTGAATCAATGGTGTCTCAGTTTGGAAAAGACCTAAAAATTAATTTAATATAGCCAAAATATTTCTTTAAGAAAAAAAAAAGAGCTTTTGGCAAAAGCAATCTAAATAAATTCAATATACGTGGCTCATACTATTTTCTAAATTAATAATTACTTTATTTAATTCTGTAAAAGATAATTCAAGACTAATTAATTTAACTATTATTTAAGGTTATCGAGTGTATTTTTCTTTAAAATTTTAATAAATGTTATTGGTAATAGCATATTCAACAAAACATTAACAAGATTAATATTGATCATACTGAATTCATAAAAATATATAAAGAATTAAGAAAACTTTTATCAAGTTTTATTACAAATGTAAATTAGTGAATGGCCCCTAATAAATTTTTATTAAAATTGGTTACCTAGTACAGTATTTTATTAATGAAATGATTAAAAAAAATTAAATAATTTTTTAATGCAAATTCAATGAGCATTGAAGCTAAAAAAATTTGTCAGAAGTAAATTATTATATTGTTCCTACACTCATAATATTTCCCAAATCTGTGATAGTTAAATTTTTTATATCAATTGTTTTAAATCAAAGATCATTTTTAAATCATTAAGAGATTAATTAAAGTATTTTTGAATGACAAATCTGAAAAACGTAAGATTTTTTGCTGCATTTAAAATATTGCAAGCCCCTCTCTTCATGCTTGCCTCTAAATATTATTAAGTTTTTTCCTTGAACAAATTAAGAGCACCGAAATTTTTGAAAGGATTAATAAAATAATAAAATGCAATAAGTAAAAAACAGAAAAATTTTATTAAAAAAAAATCAATTAAGTAAAACCAATGTTTAAATACAATATGCAATTAGTGGATGGTCCCTTAAAATAAAAAAAATTACGTTTAAGAAACTCAATCAATTTTTATCTTTATTAAATTAATGAATAAAGGGGAGATGGAAATTTTGAGGTTATGAAGCTTTGTGATTCTTGACTGCTCTGAGGATCAACAATGAAAATATGTACTTAGTGAATGGTCCCTTAAATTAATTCAAAGATCATGGTACTAATCTATAAATAGAATAGCACAAGAACGCCATTAGCTTGCCATGTACGAAGTTGATAGCACTTATGAGTATGAAATTAACAAGAGAAATAAAATTCTCTCTTGCTATTAAAATTTTGCAATGTTTAGTTGGTCCCCGAAAATTCAAGAGAAGTTTTGGTTCCATTTCAGAGAGTGGAAAATGAAGCCTGAAATTGAGAATATCTTGCAAAATAAAGCAGAGTTGCACATGAAAGTGCAAGAATCCTTCCCACTGAATCCAGAGCAACCCACATGGCAGTAGCTTGGTTGCCGCAAAATTGTGACTTCACGATACCCAGGGGAAAATATCCTTTTTGGAGCAATTTAAGCCAACTACTTAAATTTGGGGCATGTAGGAGCAGGTTTCCACAATTGGCTCGGATCGGCGAAGCACTAGCACCACTGCATATCATTTAGTTTCCCAGCTTGGACAGCAAATTCCTCAGCGGACTTAGTAAGTTCATCTATGCAAAGCAATAATCTAAGGAGTTTCTAAGGACTAATTTGGAAATCTAAGTAGTTCCAAGTACTCCTTGGAGACTTTTTTATTTCCAAGGAGTTTCTAAGGAGTATAAGGAGTCTGTACGCACCCTGGACTGTCACTTGCAGCCTTCATTTTAGTTTATACATGAAATCCAATTAATAAAAGATTTTTTAACGGTCATTTTATTTATTACCAAAGATATATTAATTGTTCAGCAGCGTAGATTTAAATAAATTTGTTAAATGAAATTAACCAAGGAACTACTTTTTTTTTTTATAAATAAAATAAATAAAAGATACAATTTTTTTAAAAGGGCAAGAAAAGTGCATTTATCTTTGGGAAAGGGTTGTTACTCTTCAAGTAATAGAGAGAATAATAATATTGGCACTTGTATTTTAAATATACCAAGCATTTAAATAATCAAGGAAAAACATTTGAACAGAACACCAACATTTAAAAAAAATAAATAAAAATTGCTATTTAAAATTAAAACATTTATGTAAATCATTTTGCTTAAAACCAATAAAAATGTTACCTGATGGCATGCTTATTTGTTGGCCCCCATTTTTTAATAGTCTCAAACGACTTTTTTTGAACTTCCCTTTTCTCTTCTTAGGTGTCGGACGATCTTGCTGCTGCTGCAGTATCATGATATTTAATTCACGTTCCAAAAGATCTATTTCCCTCTCATGAAGTTCAAGCTCTCTTTTTTTCAACTGTTCCTCATGAATCTTTTGTTGGATTAGGGCTTTTGTCAATTCTTCTTCCCTGCAGCGCAACTCCTAAAAATATATGTACACTCTGAATTTATTCGTCAAAAGTAAACAACAACATTTTGCTTAAGATGGGAGAAGAATATATTCACAGAAAAAATCTTTACGATTCATCTTTGTATGATTTATCTAACTGTGGATTTAAAAAAAAAAAAAAAAAAAAAATTGCAGCAAAATGCAATCTGCCATACCTATTGCATATTTTCAGCTACTAATTATTTCACTTAATTATCAGTTACTTTTAACACTTAATGCTGTTATTTTTAATATTTATATGCACAAGGCTTGGAATTATGAAAATTTAAAGGATTGCAGATAAAATAAATATTATATTGAAGAAAATTGCCATGTTGAACGCATTAACAAAATAAAAAAACAATTTCTACACCAAATATAACATATTTAACCTAATGCAGAAAAAATATTAACATATGAATTCAAACAAAATTTAATATAAATGAACACAATAGATTGTTTTGCCATTTTACATTTCATAAAATTAAAAATTATCTTAATTGGTATTGAAAGCAAATAAAAGAGGAAAAACAAAAAAGAAATTCTGATGTTATGTAGAAACAAAACTATCACCTTTTAATAATAAAAACAAATGCAAATTACTGTTGTAAATATCACAAGAATCTCCCAAAAAAAATTTGGCAGCAATACTTGCAATACAAAAATCAGGAGAGTTTTGATGAGAAATTGACCCATAGAGTTGGCAGTCATGAAAGGCGAAACTTACTTTTTCTTTGAGTCGCAGCTCATGGAACATTTCTTGAATTTCACATTTCCATTTTTCTTGCTCTGAGTGAAAGGATTCGTGAGGGGTATTCATAAATGATGAGCGAGAAATTATCTCTAACTCTTTTAAAAGTACATCAAAAGAAGGTCTTTGATGAGGGTCAGGGTTCCAGCAGCCTAAAGAACACAAAAGACGACAAATTTTTTTACTTTGACTAACAGCTAGACCAAAGAATACATAAGACTGGTCCAATAATATTGAAAAGTAAGGGATATCAAAAATTTTAATATTTATAACATTTTGACAAAAATGGCAACTATGCTTGAATTTTTAAATGTTAAAAAACATGTTCTTACTTCAGAAAAATAACATTACATTATTTATGAAGCATTAATTGGTCATAAATTATTTACTTATATTTAAAGTAACAATTCACATTCCATTAACACATTCTATGAATTGAATATAACTAAATATTTCATATTTAATGCCAGACCTAGATTCAATAAATTTTGCAGTAATCACTGATTTTATCTGGCATTTGATATATTCTTTAAATAATCTAAATTCACTAAAACTTAAGGTTTAAATTTTTATATAAAATAAACATAATTAAAAGAATATAAAATTATATTCATACAAAAAAATGCAAAAAAGGAAGGAAAAAAAAAGGAAATATTACATTTCATAAGAGATGAAAATGGCAGTGGACATGTTGAGGGAATTGGCAAGGTTAGTTTATTCATTGCAACTCCATAAGCAACAGCTAAGGCATCAATGCCCTTATAAGGTGTTTCTCCAGTTAATAGTTCCCACAATACAACACCATAGCTGGAAAAAAAATAAAAATACAATTAATTATAAATAGCATAGGAAATAAATTCCAATATATATAAGAATAAAAAAGACATAGAATATTTTTCTCAGCGTTTACATAATAAAAGTAGCTATAAATACGGTTAAAAAAAAAGGTAGCAAATTTGAAATTTTATATTTGAATAATAAATTTAGTACATCATTAAAATAATAAACATCCAACTGCAGGTCAATTGAACAATTAAATTATTCCTAAATCATAGATATATTCTTTAAGAAAATTCCAAATATTTACAGAAAAAAAAGAGCATAACTTTACAAAACATATAGATCTGTTTCAAATGATTAGCTTCCTCATTTGAATCATTGCAACAAATTCAAACTTTATGATTTTAATGATTTTTTTTTAAATTCTGGATTACTTAAAAATATTATAATCATTATTACTAATTCTAACCGAATTTATGAAAAAGTTTTATTTATACTATAATCTTACAGAGTATTTCATGACATATTTTGTAAGTTGTAATTGAAGACTTACGGGGCATAAAGTGATATACCACAACCACCCTATGAAAAATTTGCTTTCTTATGATAAATAATTACATCCAACAAGAGTCTGTTAAAGAAACAAAAGTCTCTGCCAAACAGGGTTGGCTTTTTGCGGACAGAAACTGGTTTTTGCCATGCCAGTGGCAGAAACTGGTTATAATCGGTAAAAACTGGCAGAAACTAAAAAAACTTCTATATTAGTTCTAGTAATTGCTTAATGACATTTTGTTTAAGTAAACAGAAAAATTTAACTCCATGTAACTGTAACAAACTTTTTAATTCATTGTTTATAAGTATATATTATTTTGTTTATATTAAATATAAAGAGTGCAGTATATCAGCTATTTATATAAAATGAAGAATAAAGTAATGTAATAATAAATATAAATACTAGATTTTAGTTTATTATATTAAATTCTGAAATTCAGTAATTATCATTTAACTCTAAACATAACTGAATAGAGCTATTTTCAAATAGTAGTTTTTTTTCTTTTCAAGACATAATTTGCATGGCAACAATCAAATTATTATAACAGTATAGTAACAGTTTGAATCTTTTGTGGATGGCAATGCCTGCTGGTTCTGCTGGATTTGAGAGAATCTTCTCAAATTTCTCGTTCGTGCATAGCAAATTGAGAAATTGTTTAGGTTTAGAAACTGCAGAGTGCAAACAATGTAATATTTGATTTTGAATGGTGATAATTTTGTAAATAAATTGTACTTTAACATTTAATTGTTTTTTTCTAGGAATTATCCATTATATGTCAATCTCAGCACTTACTTTTAAGTCATTTTCTGAATTTGTGCTACAAATGTGGCAGAAAAGGGTTTTTGCCATGCCAGTTTTAACCAGTTTCTACCAGTGGTTTTAACCAACACGGCAGAAACTTGCCAACCTTGCTGCCAAAAGATGACAACATGTTACTTTCACTACAGTATTCAACTGTATCTAAGGCAAGCAAATCACCTCATTCCTAAACTAAAAGAATGTGGATTTTTACCTCTGTACTTTAAATAGTATTCTTCATACTTAAATTTTTATATTCCTGAGAAACTATAAAATTAATTTATTAAGGCAGTACGATGACAACCTCTACTGGTATATTTTTTGACCCATTACTGCAGTGTTTCCCAAACTTATGACTCTTGTGAACCCTTTCCAAATTTTTCGTAACGCTGTGTACCACTAATAAAAAAATGAATACTATAAAAAAATTGCACAAAAGTCAAAAATCGCAACTGGCTGTTGGCCCCACTAATTATTAACTGTTAACTCAGCAAAAAATAGCCAATGGAAAAATACGTAATAGTTAATTTTCATGGCTAGCTTTGTTTTTAAATAAAATTTTTTGAAATTTTCGTTTGTTGCAAGATATTTCGCATAAGAACGCGTACCCCCGCTAAACTGTTCCCGTACCCCTGGGGGTACGCGTACCACACTTTGGGAAACACTGCATTACTGATATACATAATTGCATTCATAGGAAGGGGGGAGGGGACATTTGGTGAAAGAAAACCCCAATACTTGTCTTTACTGTTGAATGACTCTTATATGTTACATTAACAGACAATGGGTCTAAAAACAGAGATAGAAATTAAGAAAAGTTAATAATTGACCCAAGGGATCATCAAATATATAAAATGTTACTGGTTTGGTGGAACTAAAAAAAAATTGAACTTAATTTTACTAACACAGTTTAGCATTGTTGAACAGAATTTTCAAAGCTCAATAACTGCAAAAAGTATCTTACCATGAGAATGGCCCACATATTATATCAATGGCTTTTTAATTTTTTTTAATTATGCGGCAAACAAAATAAAGCTACCTGTTATCTTTTTTCACACAATTTGCTGAAAAATAAATTAAATTTTTTTTCTTGGAGCCATTCATATCTCTACATATTTTTCACTTCATCATCAATTTTTAGCCATAGCTCTATAAATTCTACTTTTTAAAAAATAATCTCAATTTGAGCATTTTATTTTGATTCTCTCAACATTTCTAAAAACTGAGGGGAAAAAACTAACTCAAGCAGACTCAACACTGAAGACGTCAGAAGTTTTTATATTCCAATTCTTTCATTGTGGTGTCACATTGTTATTTGATTATCATACAATAATTATGAAAAATAATGTTCTCATTAAAAAGTAATATTTTTAAAGCTATTTTTAAACCAAAATTTTTTTGGTCAATTTTTTAAGGAAAAAACATTTTTTTGTAAATTCAAAAAACAAATTGGATTGTTGTTCATTTACGTCGCACTAGAGCTGCACAATGGGCTATTGGCGACGATCTGGGAAACATCCCTGAGGATGATCCGAAGACATGACATCACAATTTCGATCCTCTGCAGAGGGGATGGCACCCCCACTTCGGCAGCCCGACGACATGCACGCTAAGTCGAGCAATTTACGCTAGAACCGTTTAACAAGAACCAATACCGCACACATCCTCGGTCCCTACGAAGACTGATCTAAGTGGTCACCCACCGCACACTAACCGCAGCCAGTGATGCTTGACTTCGGCGATCTGCTGGAAACCGCGTCTTAAGGATCAGTCCACTGCGGGACCAACAAATTGGGAAGATATTAATTGTACTATAGAATTCAGCTCATTGGCATTTTCTCAAGATGACTGATTTCAGTCCCCGGGACTGAAGAGTGGCACTCATCTTACATGTCTCTGTCAAATGTCTTATTAAAAAAAAAAAAAAAAAAGTGAATTTAAATAAAAATTACTAAGCAAAGAATTTGCAATATTAACATTTACGATATAATATGCTTTTTTAAAAGACAAAAATACTAACCATATACCACCCCTTTCTATTGATTTCTGGTCTGAGGGGAGCCAGTGATAATTCTTATTTATGGTGGTCCAAGCCAAATTATAGTGGGCCCGTATCTATGGACTATTTTTAGTTTTGAGTCCTTCGAACATAAACAAATGAAATAATGTATGATAAACTAAAATTACTAAAAAATATATATATACCTCCAAACATCAGCCGCTTTGGAAAATGTGGACGATTTAATTACTTCAGGTGCCATCCATGCATAAGTTCCTGCTGCAGACATTCTGGTTGTTTTGTAGACCTCCCTCGCAAGACCAAAATCTGTGATTTTCAAAGTCTTGTTTTCTAGATCATTGGGGCCGACCGGTTCGCTCAGTAATACTAGAATAAAAATTAACAAAGCATAAGAACAATATCAACAAAGAACAATGCAAGTAGATGAAATCTCACAGCTCTGCCTAGATACAATATTGCGTCAAATACACCAAAAATTGTGGATGGGACATGCAAAAAAGCCACGGGGACTAGGAGAAATTTTAAAATATAGTGCATTAGCAGATATATATTGGCAAAACTAATTTCAAAAGAAAAAAATTATTCTAATTAAATTTTAAAAGTAAACATTCCTTATAAACCCACATATTAATATAATTAATTCTATTCATACTATTTCATCTTGGAAATTAACTTTATCTTTCTTTTCTCTCAGTTTTTTTCCCCTTTTAAACATCTGAATAATTTGAAGTGTAAATTTATGTTATTTTACATAAATTTTTTTAAATGGTATAAGTGATTTAAAATGGTATAAGTGAATAGTATGAATGGTATATTTTTGAAAATTTTAAAATGGTTTAAGTTATTTACATAATGGATCTACCTTAAGTAAAAATAAAATAAATAAATAAAAAGAGACCCAAAAATATTTATGTCATTGCTCATAAGAATGCTTAGTTTCCAAAGTCTAAGGTATAGTAGGTTTGGTATTTCATTTTAGCTATAGTTTGATTTAGAAAATCAAAATATTAATCTAGTAAAGGAAAATTGAATATATAAATAAATACTTTTTTCTTAAATACAGTAGGGAACCGATTATCCCGAACGATCGGGACCATCGCTATTCCGGATAACTGACTTTTCCGGTTTTCTGAATCGCTACAAAAAGCCGTTTTTTCTTATTGTTAAACCCAACTAAAAAAAAAAAATTTTTTTTTTTGTAGAAATAATCTTAAAAAGAAGAAAAAACGATGGAGTTATTAACTAATGATTATTTCCAAAATGATGGTAAGGTAAACATCTTTTAAAAAAGAAAGAAAAATCCCAAAATCTTATGAGGAAAAATTTTTTTTTATTTTTTAAATGGCGGGAAAATTTATGGAATTTTGTTCCGGTTTTTTGGTTTTCCGATTTCCGGATAACGGGTTCTGTACTGTATTTAACTGTATTTTTATTCATTTATTTTCAAAATTTTAAAATGGAATTTTAATTGGCATTTTTGTTTTTCTTTCTTACTCTTATTGAGAATTGAATAATTAAGAATTATTAATCGAATAACTAAGAACTGTGCAAAATTAACAGTGCAGAATTAAATCTGCACAATTGCTTCAAGCTGTAATTTTAACATTAATATCCGAATTTTGAAATTTTCCTTTTTTGTCATCATCTATTTAAAAAATTTTTGTGTATTAATATAAATTTGTTTATTCGTTTAAAAAAAGAAAAACCTTTTTCAATCATCACAGCAATTTACAATTTCAGTTTTAATTTCTCATTTTTTAATTTTAAACAAATAGTATAAACATAAGCGATAAAAAGAGGAAAAATAAAATTTCAACCCGAGTAAAAAGTTATCTGAAATTTCAATACACTATTTAGATTAAAAGTCTTATTGAACGCAGGAACAAGAAATACAAAAATTAAATCATTAGTTATTTAAAAAATGTCACCAAAGCAACTTTTTAAAACAAAAACATTTTGGATGAAACATACAAATTATATTTTAAAACGTAAAAATAGAAATATCTATTATGTTTTTAAATTACTATAGACCAAATGATACAGTTAAGATTTTAAATTAAATTATTATGTGCCAGCTTAAAAAATTGAATTTTTTTAAGGGTAATATAAAAATATAAATGATAAAGATATTTTTGCAATGAAAAAATAAAACTTTTTAATGTTTCTTCAAAATCCTAGCTACACTATTTTATTAAAAGATATAATTTGTCAACTAAATATTTAAAAGGCTTTCCCATATTTACTTATTAATTCTTAATTCACAGAACAAAATTAAATATTTTAGTTATGTGCTTAAAGCAGTGAAGGGACAGCAATTACATGTTTCCATGTAATAATTTAAAACTGTCACTAAATTTTTATTTTTTAAGTTTTTCATTGCCTGTCATTGATATGTATACTTAAAACAGTGTTTTCACTATATAGAGAGAATCTCGCTTATTTTTTTCTTTTCTCGCATTAAAAAATTATTACCGCGAGAAATTCGCTCATTCTATAAGCCAATTTCAAAATTCGCGAATTTCTCGCATTTTGGAAAAAGTTTCGAATTACGCCATTTAGAATAAAATCCGTTTCACTTTTCTTCCTGGATCTTTCATTATTTTCAACATCTGCCCCATTATCTAGCTTCCCTATTTACCAGTATTGTTCAGAACCTTTAAGAACAACAGAACACCATCTCTCTGAACCACGGAACCTCTTTCAGAATGCATTTCTCTGCAACCACGTGTTTACCGTACGTAAGGTTTCTTCATGCAAGACGTTCAAATTTTTTGCGCATTAATGTAAGATGAACAAATACCTTGTAAAGGCAATACCTTCTACTCCGAAATGGCCAAATGAAAATGAAACAAATGTGGGTAGAAACGATCAAAACGAAACAAATACGCATTTGAGCAACCTAATGAGAATAGCTGATGAAAAAGTAGATGTAGAACATTTTCCATATGATGTGCCGCAAAAATATTCAATGCTTTAAAAATTAGAAGGTTTTAAAAATGTTTTTTTTCCAAGTTTCTTGGTGTGTGTGTGTTTTTTTTTTTTTTTTTTTAAATTTTTAGAAATCTTACTTAACTTTTTGAAATCTCACCCTGTTTTTGAGGAAGAGTGGGAAATTCTTACCCATTTTTTTTTCTGCGATGAAAACACTGCTTAAAAGCATGATCTTAATGTAAAAATTATCAACATTAATTATGAGATGAATTTTTCATAATTGCCTGAGTCAAAATTTAACTTTTTGAGAAAACCACCTTTAGATAATATATATTCAATGTCCAAGACTCAATTTTCCATTTCCAATAAAAACTGTAGCATATATTTGTATGAATTAATTTAATTTCTGGTCATTATATGAGCATGTACACCGTGACATTTATTTGTTCAGGAATAAAGTGTCCTCCATGCAAGGGCGCCAGCAGAATAATATAGAAGGGGGTGAAATGCCCTAGCAAACTAGCCCCTCCCCCCAAAAAAATTTAAAATATTACATTTTGTTTTGTTATTACATATACTTTAATCTGTTAATTTTTTCAAGACACATTTCTTCATTGTTACCAAGATATTTAAAAAAAAGTAAGAATTTCTTGTACTTGTAAATTTTGCCACGAGAAACTGTATTGATGGCACTGGCATAGCTACTGACTTTAAAACACAAATAACTACAAGCAGTAGCTTCGTATACTAACGTGTTTGTGCAGGCTTAACATTGGTATTTATTGTGTTGATGAAGTTTTTCAGTCGTGAGAAGTCAGTTTGTGCTATACACCTTTGTTAAACTAAATAACTAATAGAAAATATATTATTTATATTTTATTAAATGAAATTTAAAAATATAACTTAGATATCTGCCCAGTTCGTGCATGCTCAGTGTGCATAAGAAAAGAATCAAAGACGACTCAGAATTCATTGAAAAAGTTATAAACAGATTTGGACAGCAAACAACACTATTGCAATTCTTGTTTGATTAAACAATTTTTTAATTGTTATGTGTCAATAATTACTTAATTATTTGTTTTTGAACAAAAAAATTTTTAATAAATTTTTTTTTAACAAAATTGTTTTTCTGTATCTCTTTAATTGTTATAAAAAAAAAGAAAGAAAGACAGGGGGGTGCTGCAAGTGCACCCTCTTGCACCCCGTGCCCTTGCATCCACGGTTAATCAACTTATGATAACCTTGCTTTCTATTTAATTTCTTAAAATAATCAAAGTAAATAATGCCTCTCTGTTACTTTATATTATAAAATTGTTGATAGTATGCTGATTGGAATCTCGATCTATTTTGCAATTTCTTTTTTCAAACCTGTACCAAAATCATGGAAATTCGATAAAAATTCTATACTAAACATAGTCAATTTTCCAATCTGAATCATTTTGAACAAATCACAATGTCTCTCCCATGTGTTATACTAGATAACTTGAATGGGAGACACACAGCACATACATTCACCTGTTCTTTCTTTCTCACAATTCTACAGATAAGGAATTCTTCAAAACCACACAAGATGAATTCCTATAGCAACCATTCAATCAATCAAAGCACCTTATTCATACTCATTATTCTCTTGTCAACCACACCCCCTCAAGAAAATAAAATGTAATAAGTAAAATGGGTGGCCACTGCACCTGACTGGGCATAGATAAGGAAACAATAAACAAGAATCTTAAACTCCACCAAAAGAAATTTGGTTTTCATAGTGTCCATTACATACCTTTATCTTTATAAGTTTAGGCAAGATGTTCACTGCATATTTTTTAATAACATCTCCTTCTCTCTTTCTATATCCAAACATACATATTAATATAAATTTGGAAAGAGTTTAAGAAATTAGAAAATGTAACAATAAAATGAATTTAATTGTTATTCTTTTATAATTTTTCTGTTTTTTTTTTTTGTAATCTTACTTAATAATCATTATAAATAATTTAATTTCACTTTTTTATTTCCTGTGTTTCTTTTATTATGGGCTTTATGTACTTGTCACATATGAGCGGTTGATAATTAAAAAAAATAATAATAAAATAATTCTTTAATTTTTTTTTTTATTCTTAATGATTTGTTATTTATATTTATGTAGATTGGAAATTTTCTTTTATTGTACTTGCAGTGTTTGTTCGAAGCGTTTTGAGAAGGGCAACCCAGCTTCCCCGCCTTTTGATCCTCTTTTTTTTTAAAAAAAGCAACCACCCCTTAAACACACTGCCTTGTCATTCATTTATATTCCATAAAAAATCAATTCATTGTTTAAATAATAATTACACACTGGTAAAATTATCTGTGTTTATAGGTTTAATTCTGATTACTATTAGGGATATTTATTTTGATAGTATTCTCAACTGGTTAAATTCTTAAAAGTTTCTCTTTTTTTGGAGGAAGGGGGAGAGGAGTATATCTATGAATTTTTTAAGTAATTTTAAATACTAAAATTATTTTTTTAACTAAACACTTTTTTTCTTTAAAAAAAAAAATCACTTTTAAACAATGTTCATTCTAGACCTCAAAAAGAGCATGGTATCAATCTTCACAAATATTTACATATTGACACCCAGAATATATAAATTTATATTCTTATAATTAAAAAAATATTTTTTTTCCAGATAACTGGCTTAAATTAAAAACAATTCCTCAGTTAATTCTCACTCTATAAAGCAGCTTTAAAATGAGTTATTCTTGAATATTGATGTTGCATGTGTAATAAAAACTTATATCGGGATATGAAAAATGATGACTAAATAAATGGAAAAAGATAAGCAATTGTAATAACTGCAGTTAAAAGCGATCGAAAATTAATGTGGACTTCCATAAAGGACGAGAATTTATGATAAAATCCATCTAAATTGAGCACGTCAAAAAGTGACTTCTTAAATTAAATAAACTTGCTTGCCGCAATGACACTGTATAAAAATTATCAGAATAAGAAATTGAATATTGTATAAAAATATTCAGAATAAGAAAAAACATGTGTGAAAGGCTGGAAGTAACGTATATCTATGACGGATTTGTGGCAAATCTATAAAACACCTTAAAAAGAGATAGCTCTAATTTGAAATTCACATGCCATAATAACATATCAAATATATCAGAGTTTGAAAAAAAAAAAAAAAGAAAAAAAGATCACAAATGTCAATCATGACGCAATTTTTGGCAAATTAAAAGCCTTAAGAAGCAATAACTAAAATTGCAAATTCAAAATTATAACATCATACATAATCTTACAAAAATATTGAAAATAAAAAAAACCAAGTGCAAAAAATCAAAAAATTATAAATAACCGCAGAAAGAACTATTAGGTTGTCTGCAAAGTTTGTGCTGATACATTATCCAATATCATAGGATCGGGAATAACTTTCTGAACGGCTTATCATCCGACGACAGGAAATTACAAAGGAGTCAAACAACGTAATAACACTGTATTAAAAATATTGGATTTTGAAAGTGGGTGAAAAAATCATAAATAAATGCTAAAAAAGTCATAACCAAACACCATGAAATTGTGATAGAATACTCACGATTCGAACACTTAAAGAAGTAATAACACAAATTTGAAATTCGCACATTGCATTAAAAAGTACAGCAGAGCGCCGATTATCCGAACGTCCAATTATCAAAACTATGTCCAAATCCGTTTTATTTCTACAATTGGGGGATGGGTTGGTTGTCACTTATGGTTAATGATTAGAGATTACAGTGCTTGGAATCTTAAATCTTGGAATAAAATTCTTAACAGAAAAACAAAAGAAAATGAAGTTTCTGAACCAGTAGATCTTTCGGATGAAAAGATGCCAGATTATAAAGCAGAAGAAATAGAAGACTTTTGTCGAGACACTGAAAACGACCCAGGAGTTCAAATTTTCAATGATGGTGAAATTGTTGCTGAAATTTTAAATGAAAATCGGAACTCCTAAGACGAAGAGGTAGAAGTAGGAGATCAAGTTCAAGATATTGGACCTTCTCATATAGAAGCATGCAATTCAATAGATATTGCAATGAATTGGTTAGAACTTCAAAATGATTTTGATCCAGTTCAGTTGATTTATTTAAAAAGACTAAGGGCTATGGCTGCTCAAAAAAGAGCATCTTCTTTGAAACAAAAGTCTCTGCTGTATTTCTTTTCAAATGGAAAATAAAGAAAAATTTAGTAAAGTCAGTAATTGGCAAAAAAATTATAAAAAGCTGAAACATGATAAAAATAATTTAAAAAAAAAAATAAAAAAAACAACTTTTAAACACGCCAGAGCTTAGATAGTAACTGCCAGTCCTAAGCCTAGAAAAAGTGTGAAGGGAAGTTAGGTCATATATAATAATCATTTAAACAAACAACTTTCCAATTATCCGAATCACGTTCGATCCCGAGTAGTTCCGATAATCGGCGCTAAAACTATATGAAATAGCTTTAAAAAAAATTATTACCCAAACAACCTAAATTTACGAAGGAATCGCGTCGAATTAAACACATTAAATATGGATAACTCAAATTCGAATTTGAAACGTGACAATATCACTGTATTGAAAATACTGAATTTGAAGAAGAAAAAAACATGTGAAAAGGGCCGATAAGATGATAAATAACTTCTGAAAAATTATCATCAATAGACATTAAGTTAGGATGGAATAGACACAAATTGAACATTTCAAAGAAGTGACAGCTCAAGTGCAAAATGCGCAGGTCGTAATAATGTATTTAAGATATCGGATAAACAGAAAAACAATTATTCACAAGTTAAACACTATTTATTATGTACTCTGGTTCACAGGGCATGTGGGGTGGTATTTTTTAGCCAAAAGGTAAATGAATTTACCGCCTAAAAGGAACCCTGGTATATCGACACAAAATTTTTTCTAAAAGTAAAGTAAAACAAAATTGATATAGTAAAAGGAATAATTCCGAAAACTTTCTTTTGGGACCACCTGACATATTAATGCAAAATGGAAACAATGAAGAGAAATAAAGGTACATACCTTTTAATTTTGTATAAATTAACACATATCTATTAGTAATTACAGAAACTATATACACAATTAAGATTTTGAGGCAGTTATAAATGAGATGAAAAATATTTATGCACCAGTATCAACTATTTTTGCCAAGGTAACAAAAGATTTCTAACTTACATTTAAGGAAAAAAACAACATATCTAATGGTCTTCCTATGGGTGGCTACGAGTTATATTCTTAGACTTGGCTCACTTATGTGATTTTATGTTATAGCCTGTTTCTAGGTTAAATTCTTGATATTTTTCGAGCAGAAACTAATAAGGAAATCTTTGGAAAAAAAAGAACATACATTTTTAATACTTGAATTATTAGAGTATATTTATTATATACAAACTGTCAAAAACAACTACAATTCCAAAGGCACTAACGGAGAACTAAAGCTAAAGGAAAGGCCTTGGACTAAGCAAAAATTAAATATATCACAGATTCGCTGAGGAGAGACAATACTCTCTAATCTGGTCCCCTTTTGCACTGTGTTAACAGCCTTTCACTTGACAGGAAGTAGCCAAACATTGGGAATTATTTTAGTGCAAGACAGATAACTGGGATATTTCTGTATTGTGACCTATTGCGCCAACTAGAGACGCCAAGGTGCAAAAAAGATTTTAAACTTGCAATTTTGTTTTAAAAAAATATGTAGATGTTTGCTCGTGGGTGGCAACAAATCATGCCTTTCAAGTTAGTCCTTTTCTGTGATGTTTTTCTTTAGCTTCTCGCAGGCCGCTGCCAGGAAATTGCCAAGTTGTTACGATTCATCATCATATCTGGCTAGACAGCCCAGTGTGGGCCAGTGCCTTCCTTTGAATTCGAATCCACTTCTCTCTACTTTTGACACTTGTTCGCCAGTTTTTCTCCTTTAGAGTAAGGAAATCAGTCTCAACTAAATCCAGCCATCTCAGCCTGGGTCTACCTCTTTTCCTGTTCGTTAGGGGTTTATGTAATAGGATTTTCTTAAAATTTGAGTCATCATTCCTTCTGAAAAGGTGAGCTGCCCAGCTCATTCGATTTATTTTTATGAATTTCACAATACCTGGCTCTCTGCAGATTTTATACAGTTCAGTATTATATCGTCTTCTATAGGAATTATTTATTTTTATCCCACCAAGGATGGCCCTCAAATCTTTTCTCTCAAAAATGGCAATTTTCTTTTCATCAGCTTGAGTTAGGATCCAGGTCTCAGAGCCATAGGTAAGTATTGGCCTAAATAATGTTTTATAGAGTAAAAGTTTTGTATTTTTTGATAAAAGAGAGGATTTGAAAAAACGTTTTAAACCATAAAAAGCTTTATTTGAGCAAATTAGACGACTCCGAATCTCATTGTCTATGTTATTGTCGGCAGTAACTATTGAAGCAAGGTAAGTAAAATTCTGAACAGTCTGAAACCTGTGGGAACCAATCTCCGATTATTCTGCCACAAATCACCTTACGGAATTCTCCTCCAAAATTTTTTTCTCGTATTTAGACTATGGTATACAGATTTTCTCCTACATTATGAAGTTATGATGCAGCAGGCATAGTTCATTATTAATTTTAAAGTCAAAATTTAATAATTGATTCTATGAATAATATAAAAAAGATTGAATACAATAACAAGTTATAAAACTTACCATTACTGGACTTTAGATCACGGTGAATAAGTGATATGCGTGCTTCAGAATGTAGATAATGCATCCCTCTAGCAATTTGAATAGCCCAACTGACTAAAACATTAGGAGGAATTTTTCTGCCACTCAATACCCTATTAAGTGAACCTCCTTTAGCATATTCCATCACAAGGCACAAGTTCGGTTCATCTAAACACACACCTTTGAGCGTCACAATGTTCGGATGGTTCAATAACCAAAATAATTTAGCTTCTTGCCTCACATTTTCAATTGTTACACTGATATCTTCATCAGGGTCTTGGCGTGCGGCTTTCACTGCTACTTCTTGCCGACGCCAATATCCCCTGTAGACTTTACCAAATCCTCCAACACCAATAACTTCTTCCAGTTCAAGCTCTGAAAACTTGATAGTAAAAGGTCTCTCACGTTCAATGGGTTTGACATTATTAACATTGAGCAAAGTGACAAAATTGCTAGGAAATATTCCAACTTTGTCACATATTTTTCCAGTCCACCATCCTTCGTCTCCGGATATTTTGGAATCTTTCGACAACACCTCCACTTGCTCACCGCGGTGAAGTGACAATTCGTCTTCACCTGATGCTTCGTAGTCGTAAATGGCTGTCCACAGTCGAGTTTTGTCGGTGATTCCATAATTTTCGGTGATATTAGAATGCAGAGATTCCATAGAAACCCGATAACAGTCTGGCATCCGAAGACAAGTTAAGGAAATCGAGAAATTAACCTAAGTCATCATGTGTTATGAATCTTTAGGCCTAAAAATCGCATTTATTTCGATGAATATCGTATCGATTATTTTCGAGTTTTCTCGCATTCCATGTGAATATTATAAATCTATTGCTGAAAAGAGCATTTGGAAAACTAAAATAAATGATCTAACCTTAACCATTTCAACAACAAGATAGAACCCTGACACCTCTTTGATCTCCTCCATATAAACTAGCAGGAGCAAGTTTACAAATTTCTAAAGTTTACAGTTGCCAGTTTCTATCTAAAAATACTTACAAAACAAACAAATAAAAACATAACTTGCAAAAAATCAATTATTAAATATTTAAATGTGCTGATATTTGTATGAAATGTTAAAATCTAACATAAATATTTTGATAGTCGTTTAAGATAAGCACGAAGGTCATTAATCTTCATTATTTAGAAATAGCTTTAGTTGCTTTCAAATGGCAACAAAGGCATTTCTGAAACTGAAAAAGGTTTATTTAACATCTAACATGGCAGTGCATAATTCCTTAGTTCAATGTTTATCAATTATGTACAGATTGCTAGCTGCTATATTTATATTTTTCACAAATTTCTTAACTTAACAATCGAATGCCGTTGTTGAAATGAAATATGGGATACCAAACTTTAGAAATACTTCGGCAGGGTGTTTGGGCATCTTTTACTGGTGGTTGGTTTTACGATCCGAGACAGGACCACTTTATAAATATAGTTCACCTATATATATGGTTAATTCTGTTATGCCTTCCTTTTGGATTGTATATGGTAAGATGTATTCCATATTTAAATTATGCATCCTAATTTGTAACAAAAATATGCTATCTAAATATTGTATTTATCTCCTGTATCATGACGGCTGAGTTACAAAGTAAACAAATGTGTAAACATTGATCAGCTGAAAGTTTTTATCTTTCCTGACTAAGAACTAAACAAAGAACGTTTTTTTAAAAACTATTTTGATTGTGAATAATATTAAAGATTTTATTTCAATTTCATAAGGAGGTCATAATTTTAGTTATTAGGTATCCTCATACTTGTTTTTTTTTTCTTCCGTGTATACTTATTATCTTACAAAGTGGTATTATTTATTGTATCGAAATAACCACTAATATATTTAATCACGTTTCAAAGCAGTTTATAGAATTATAAATATTAGCTTTACATTTTATTAAGTTTTTAAAATATGAATTTCAATAAAAACTGGATTGATTAAAGACAAGATTATTTTTTACTATTAATCACCAAAAACGTGAGAAAGTTCTACTCTTAACTAATAATTTGGCATTTCAACTTTCAGTCATTGTTGTTTAGTTTAGATAATTGTTGTTAAAGAGATATAAATGTACTGTTCAAACTATTATTCTTATTAGAATACATTAGACATTAATTGTAGAGTATTAATAGTTACTAACACACGAATCAGGAAGTTATTAAAACAGCTTTGAATATTTTCATTCATCCAGCATAATATTTTATTTTTTTTATCGCCTGGAAAATCTTATTTCTGTGGAAAATTTTTCAAAAATAAAAGAAACTAGCCTATCTTATCTAAACTAACATGCTGAAATATTGAAACTTTCAGATTGACTTATATTTTTTACAACCTTAAAAATCATGTTCTATTGTTTATCTTTAATTAATAATTATGATATATAAACTTGGCCAGATAAAATTGTTAAAATAGGGTGACCTAGGGTAATTCCTGATCAAAAAACGCAAACACCTATTTTGTGAAAAAACTATTCAAAATAGAATTTTAATATTTACTGAAAGTTTGAGGCTATATGAGATGAGTCCAATGCCTCCTTCTATTGTTTGAAAATCTAATTAGAATTTAAAAGATTTTTAATTTTTAGTGATCAGGAATTACCCCCGGTCTTGATATTTCTGGGGTAATTCCTGATCACTTCTGGGGTAATTACTGATCACCAGTTTTTATTGTAAAGGGGCTGTTTAAATATAATTATATAATGGTAATTAACAATTAAGACATCAAGATCAAACAAATAAACCAAAAAGATATGTTTAGGTAAGCAGCTAATAAAGCAATTTATTTAAAAGCAAGAAGAACGATTAACACTTTAAATTTTCAAAAATCTTTGCATCATGCCATACATTTTAGGCAATCAGCCAACTCATTCTCATGTTATTCTGAAATATAAGAGAGTTCTCACATGAGTTACTTTTGCTGGATTTTTTAACTTCATTAAGGGAGAGTGTAAAGTTAAGTAAGGTATGTCAACAGCTCTGCAAGGAGCTCTCACACTGAAATTTTCATTTTCAATCATTAAAAGAAATTCACTAATTTTGTTTTCTAAAAGCTTAGTATCTTTTTAGGCTTAAAATTTCCCACCATATTTATACTAGGCTAATTTATAAACTTAAAAATTATTCTAATGATGTACACACATAAAATTAAGATAGATGCAAAGGTAAGACAAACCAGAAATGGTGCAAATCAGAATACAGTCTTGTATACAGTTAAAAACAAATTTTGTGATGACAGTTATAATATATTTTATAGTTGTTCCACTTAATAAATATGAACTGTTATTTAGGAAAAGACAATTAGCTATTTATAAGCTATTTTATGTACTATTTATAAGAAGAAATGACAATGATCAGGAATTACCCCAGTGATCAATAATTACTCCATCTGTAGGGGGCAACATTTGATATAGTTTCCTATAATCAATTATAATGTAACAATTAAACAAAAGCTTACACTACTTTTACTCAAAGAAAAAGAAAGTGACTCATAATATTTATTATTAAGAAAAAAATCTTTCCAGAAATGTGCACATTTGAAACCCATCTTTGAAATGGAAAATACAGAAAGCAGTTTAAAAGATACTTATTTTGTTAGATTAAACAAAAAATTATTATTAAGTAAATGTAGTTATACTTTAGTAAAGTGTACAAGCATTCTTGTCCATGTCTTAAATTTTAAAAAAAATAATTTTTTTAAAATAAAACTTAGGTGATCATTATTTACCCCAGAAACAGAGTGATCGTGAATTACCCCGGGTCACCCTACTGACCATAATTTTGAAATGCAACATTACATTAGAACTAAATATGTATCGGATCTGAGAAATATTTATATTAAGGAAAATAATAATTTTCATTTGATAAACTTTTTGAAATAAATATTTTTTACTTGGTATAGTTATAATAACCCTTGTCATTCTGGCAGAAATGAACATTCTGTTATGTGTGGTCATAGCATGAGGGTGCAAAATAACCACAAATATTAACTCATAGCTAGATAAGTTTTTACAAAGGAAAGCTTTATTTTAATAAAAATTATGTCACTAACACAAAAATTGGTAAAAACACTACTTTTTTTAAACATTAATATACAACATAAAAGTACCTTTTAAAATAATACTTTGTTATTAAAAAATCCATTAAAGATAATATGCTAATTCAGGAATGTCATTTTAAAATAAACATAGGTCTTCAAGACAACTGTAAAGACTACACTATGTTTTAACGTTAACATAAACCACATAAAGGGACTGACATTTCACAAAAACAGTGAATGCAGTTTTCAAACAGGAAAATTATTGATAAATTTATTGTATCCTTTGAAAAGAAAGTTACAAAAAATTATGAATGACCATAAATTACCGTAATAAGAATTTAGAAGATCATTTCATTTTGCTTTCATTCAAAAGGGTTTCAAGGTGTTTCACATTTATTGTGTGGCAATATCAAAAGAAATTATGTTTTAAATAATTTTTTTCAAACTTTTTCTATAACGAATGACTAGATTTAAGTTGTTGTTGGAATGAATGGTTCAGTGTGGATTTTCTAATGTATGTTAAAATAATAATGCATCTATGGAATATCTAACAAAACTTTATGCATTAGTTGTTATAATATACCTGATTGTTTGAAGGAGGTGCCGGGGGGAAATTCCGATTGCAATGGAGAAACTTTTGGTCAAACTTTAGAAAAAAAGTCATAAGCCTCAAAATTTTTATTATAAAAAAAATGTCTGTTGCAAAATTTCCCCCCATAAAATATATTTACCTGGTGATTTTGTACCTGGTAAATGCTGGTTATACACTAGGGATGCAGTGTTTTCATCATAGAAAAAAAATGGGTAAGAATTTCTCACCCTTTCTCAAAAAAAGGGTGAGATTTCAAAAAGTTAAGTGAGATTTCAAAAAACTAAAAAAACACAAAAACTCGTGATAAAAAATCATTTCTTTAATTATAATACATTTTTAACGTCTTCTATTTTTTAAAGCATTGAATATTTTTGGTGCATCATCATAGAAGATTTTGCCTTTACAAGGTATTTGTCCATCTTACAGAGCACATAAAAAATTTGAACGTCTTACATGAAGAAACCTTACCTATGGTAAACACGTGGTTGAAGAGAAATTGTTCTGAAAGGGGTTCCTTGGTTGTGTTCTGTTGTTCGAAAAGGTTCTGAACAATACTGGTAAATAGGGAAGCTAGATAACAAGACAGATGTTGAAAATAATGAAAGATCCAGGAAGAAAAGTGAAACGGATTTTATTCTAAATGGCGTAATTCGAAGCTTTTTCCAAAATGCGATAAATTCGCGAATTTTGAAATTTATTTATAGAATGCGCAAATTTCTCTCGGTAATAATTTTTTAATGCTGGGGTAACACTGGGATGTAAAGAAAAGTGATTTGACCGAATAAGGAATATTCAGCCAAAAAAAGCAAAGGAATGGCTACATTTTATTAAGAACAGAAATCATTAATAAATACTATTTTTTTTTATAGAAATGAGTTTCATCATTATTGAAAAATGATCAATACTTAGTTGTATCATTGGTACATGGTAAAGGGGAAAAAAACGTAATATAAATTGATTTAGCAATTAGCGGGAAAAAGAATGTTTCATAAATTTTTACCTGACTCGGTTGTTGTATGGACTTGGAACTATAAAATTGAAGGTGGAACGTTTAGATATCTCACAATTCAGTTAGAATTTGCCACAATTTACTGGAATTGGAGATGAACTTAGAATATTGAATTATACATCGAAAACATTGAAACACTCCACACACAGGAATCGAAACACATACACTATTTATTTTCTCAAGCTCAATGAATAATTAATTAGGATGCGCAAAGCGCCATCTGTGGACTGTAGTATTAAACATAAATATTTAAGATAATTAGATATTAAGTTATATTGGAAATACTTAAGATAATTAGATATTAAGTTAATTGGAAATATTTAAGATAAAAAAAACTTTAGTTTTAAAGTTGAAAAAAACAAGACATAGAAAAAAAGTATCCTTTTAATTCTTAAAACAAAACTCTAACGCTAAAAACAATATTATCCGGAGAAAAAAAAATATCCATAAAACATTATAGGAGATAATGTCTATCAGAAACACTTTTAAAAATGCAGAGCTATCATAAAAATGTCTATTAAGAAAAAACTAATTTTCTATGCAAAAGCATAACAGAAAAAAATAAAAATTTGTAATTTTTTATCTTAATTTTTGGAAGAAATTTTGAAAGATAAACAGTTTAGTTTTCCTATTACTATTGGGTGTACAAATTAATTCAGTCGGTATTTTTGTGGTCAAAAATGCATTTATTTCAGAACAAAATGAATGAACAGATTAATGAAAGTATTGTCCATTGCTGGCTACTACTTTTCCCCACCTCTCAGGCAATTTTCGAATCCCGTCTCGAAAAAATGTTTCGTCTTTTGAGGCGATCCAAGTTAGGAGCCAATTTTCGATTTCTGCTAAAGAAGTGAAAC